GTAGAGTAAAATGATCCGGATCAAAATGATCCGTGCTATGATTGGTCAAATCTGAAATTTCGTAGCATCTCATTGAAATTTTATTCAATGAAATTTCAGATTTGACCAATCATAGCACGGATCATTTTGATCCGGATCATTTTACTCTACGTCGCGAAAGCACCCCAGGCAACAGGCAACAGGAACAGGGAATAGTCGGAAATTTTCCTTCAACCAATCCAACGCGTCAAAAATTCTATTCCCTATTCCTGTTGCCTGTTGCCTCGCATTGTGTGATAGGCTTTAAAGACAATTCGGGCAAAACATGAAATACATGAATTATTGAGAGGCGTACGCATGTCCGACCCAAACCTAACCCCGAGCGCTTCTTCGTAAACACCCACTAATCTCAAGTTTAGTGGATTTTATTCTACATCTCGTATGCCTGCCAATCGTAAGATTGAAATCTCCCCACGTGGAGGAGACGGAGCTCATTAATGTCAAAAAGGGCATTCAGACCCTCGTATATATTGTTATCGTTTGACAATTACAATTCGATTGTTCATAATCGTCGCGAAATGTTGCGCGTCGCTACGAAACGAGTACAGGTATACACATCTGAGGAAATTTCGCTTCGTTAAAACTATTCTTGTCTAACCTGTCTGCGTAGCTGTCTTCTAATCGCTTGTTGCTCCTAGAATATAGCGCTTGCCGCTTCGCGGACGTTCAGCGCACAGGCTTCGAGCGCCGGGCAATCCACGGTGAACACCGACGTGCCGGGCCTCAGCGAGAATGTTGTCAAAGTACCAAACACACGTAAGATTAAACAGCGTCTGCTGGAGAGCACTCGCTTAGACAAATTTCAGCTTGAACCTGGAATTGATTTTAGCCGTAGGGCCCAACGCCTCCAAGGACACGGAATACAAGAATCCCGAGTACTTTCGTTATCACGTGGACTCGTTTGGGGAGGCCGAGGTGGAATTGGCCAAGTACAGACTGCCGGTACCATCCAATAAGAGACCGTTCAATAGATAAACGATAGAGCGAAGAACAGTAGGGATAAGTGACGTAACAAGTTTAACGAGTTAACAAAGTGTACAAAGGAGAGATGGCAATGATGAGCCGGGGTGTTGAAAGCTGCGTTGTTATTTAACAGAAATATGTCCAATATATTATTTATCCGCGTGAGACCTCTAGTTGTTTTCTTCATTTTATCCTCGAAAACGGAAATTTCATTGATTGTTGTAATCCGTCGCTTGTAAAACAACATAAAATAAACAGCTGTCACGTCTCAGTACCTCAGAATAATAGTCTTGTCCGTTTTTAGTCAACATTTAAATGTTTTACCAGGGATTGGACTTAATTGTGTGAATTAATTAATTTCTGGACCAATAAGATAACGTATTTTATAAATTAAATAACGAGGATCAGTTCTATTAATTAATTTGTAATTTGGATAATTTCTAATTTAATCAGAATGAGATGATAATTATTTTGTTGATCTAAATCTTTACTCGGGTTTTAAAAATTACAGTATTTTAGTTGAAATAGAATGGGATCTCTCCCGAATTTTAACGCTTTAATCTGATAACGTAAACGTTTTTGTTGCACGCGTCCGGTTTTGGGCATCAGAGTTGGAATTTTGTCTGCCACACTCTTCGGCAGCGATCAGTAAGGAATTAGGAGTCAGTTCGTTACATACTCTTTGACAGCGATCTTCGAATGAGAATTAGAGGATTTACGAATGAGAACCTTTTAAATAATAAACTAAATTCCAAATAAAACATCGATCAACCAATTCGAATCAACAAGTTAAATCAATGTCATGTTTAATAAGTGAAACGGTGAGAATGAGGGAGTCAGTCCGACAGTTAGTCCAATAATCTGTTATCTGAGCCGAGTCCCCTGATGGACCGATATTTATAAAAATTCCTCCTATTAATTTTCCCCCCCACGACTACGTCTTACAATTAGTGGAGGCGAAAGGTTTCCTCATTTCTAACAGTATCCGCGGGAACAACTTTTCGCGGCGTCTTCCAAGGAGAAAATTGACAATTGATCAATAACATTGGTGCGTCTTCAACACCGTAGGAGTTCGTTAAACTTAACCTCTAATTTAGTCTGGATTTAAAAGTTTAAATTTATGTTAAATTTGCAAACATTGTACAATTTTCAGTGGCCTTTGAACTCTAACAGAGGCGCTCGCGAGCTAACGAGCTTCCGCCCGGTTGAGAGCCACTGTTCAGAGAATTTATTTGTACAAGAGTCACGAACGCGGCCGGATTCGACCGAGCTGCCGATCGGCTTTCCTCCCCCCCCCCCCCTTTAATCATGGTCGACTGGTTTTCACGTAGAAACGTGCCATCCATACGATTCTTTGGTCCATGGTATAATGAGCAACGCACATAACATAACGATGCCGGCGTGTGAGCGTCACGCATCGTCGCCGGGCTGTATAAAGTCGGCCGAGCCGAGCCCCGTCGCGTGAGAGTGCGCCGGTGACGTGGTCACGACGACGGCCGACACACATCCCAAGGTCGAGGTCCAACGGGAGCGACGTCGCGCCCCCTCCGTTATCTATTCACTTTGCATTTCCCCCCTTTTGCCGGAACGGACTCCGCGGAGTGCCGCGAGTGCTCGGCTCGGAGTGCCAGCTTTCGCACGTTTCGCGCGCGCGCGCCGGGCTCCTCGCCGCGACGTGGGTCCCCCGTCCCCCAGGATATCAGGGCTGGTGCGACGTTCGCTCTTCCTCGTTTCCTCCGCCTGACCCCCGATCATCACGCGACAGTGTGCTCCAGAGCAGGTTCGGCTGCCCAACGATGTCGTCCGTCGTCGCGCGGAACCGGTTCCTGTCGGCGCTCGGCGTCGCGCGGCGCCTCGCCGCCGCCGCCACCGGCCACGCGCACGTCACGCACATGGGCGTGCGCCGCGGGTGGAATGCAGCGTGCTGGAGGTGAGAACGCGGTGAGACGGAGGAAGGCCCCTAATAGGGTAGAATTTAAAGGTCCTCTTCGATCAGCGAGAGCGATAAATCTGGCCAGGAGAGCCGGAAGAAAACGCTTCGTCGCGTGTCCCGACGATTTCAGAGGGTGCGCTCGGAGGGTAAAAATAGCGAGTTTCCCCAACGACGAGTTTCAGAAGGACCGAAGAATCCGCGAAATGCGGGGAGAGAACTCGTTTTCTAAAGAGCGGATGCGACCCGGCGAGAAATGATTCGTCGATCGATGTCGAAGCGACGTCGATGACTTTGAAGGTGTTGATATTCCCAGATAGCACACTGAATTCACTAAGTATTCTTTAAGTTTTCTTTCTTCTGAATTGTAATTCTTTAGGAATTCATAGAAGAATACAATAAGAGTGACAGAGGAAGTTACATGCACCATAAATCGTTTTCCTGACAACTTCTTAAAGTATTCATCTCGAATTCAATAAATGTAAACTTTATGAATTCAAGGGGAATAGTGTTAGAACAAAGAGGATTAAAAAATATTTACCCAATGTATGTACGCATCTAATATGCAGTAACATTACACCATTATTATAATTTCTCACTCAACAGTGAGATACTCTCAACCGAAGCTCGTTGACAATCGGATGATTCTTCCGTTTCGGTTCTCGTCGTTCGATTCTTTCTTTTACACAATAGAACTATTGCACAAAATTAATTGCACATAACGTTACGCACACAAAATATTGCACGTGGTAACACGCTGCACAAGAACGTCCGGATGGCGGTTAGCGGATACTCGCGCATGACAAATAATTCCTCATAAATTCTTAAAGTATTCACAGTACTGAATCGCGAAGCATTCATTATAATGAACTTCAGAAGGATACTTCAAGACGAACTGATTGAGACTAATTCTTCAAGAATTCTTCAGATATTCATTTTTCTAATTCTGTATGTTTTCTTTAAAATGAATTCTCTATGAACTTATGTTCATCTTTGTGCTATCTGGGTTGTTTCGTCGATACCGATCGGCGAGTCATTTCTCGCTGGGGATGGGAAAGACAATCGATGAACAGTTCTACATATAATCAACTTTCTCTTCTTCAGCTACGACTGAGGAAAAATTGACCTTTGTATCTTCGAAATGTTTTCGCTTCGCCAGCCGCAAGTCCGATTGAAGTCCCTGGAAACTGCACAATTTTTGCGACTCGCGTTATCCTTAAAGATAAAATTCCCTTTCTCTTTTGTCAATTCTTTTAGTTATTACTTTTCCGAAGCTAATTTAGAAAGAATTGCCTGGCACAGAATAGATAGATCTGCCTCTGCGCGGTCGACAAAGTATTGATAATTGTCTAACGGTTGATCTTCACGGTTCAGCCCCGAGGAGCGCCAATGCGTATAATGTACTTTAAATGTACATTTAAATTCGCATTTAATAAACGTATCCACATTAAATGCGCATTTAATGTATATTGTGGCAGCGCATTCCAAAAAGCTGTACCATTGACCCCCTCTGCATAATTTTACACGCATAAGCATAAATATAGGGAATTGTAAAAAAATTATGTATCTCAAATATGCTCGAACATATTAAATTCACGCATTTTGAACGCGCAATTAATATTGTTTTGAAGTCAACGCAATAAAATGCATATTAAAAGCGCGTCGTATGCGCAATGGCGCTACTTGGGGCTTCATATTCCTTTGAGATTGTATCAAAACGATCCGGCGAACGTGCGATTTCTGCCTCTGTCAATAGCAAAATCGACAAGAATGACCCGTCGATATCCTTTCATTGACATTTCATGCAGTTGTCATGCAAATCGCTGACGACAAAAAGACTTGTATAATCAACGAGTTGTTCTCTCTCTTTCTACTCGATGATACTCTTTTTCTACTCCAACTCGATCTCTGTCGGATACAGTTGCGAAGACGGCACGTTCCAGGCACGAGCGTTTAACAAATGCCTGCGCGTTAATCCCTTGTTGATTTTTCTCGAGTCACGAACGCGCTCGTCGTTCGCACGTACGAGGCAACCGTTCTTGGATGGTCTCCGTAAAAATCGATCGACAAATATCGATTCTCAAATCACTTGGAATTCGTAATTCGTGTCGATGCCTCGAGCGATCGGTTTAAATACTTTTCCCCCCGCAGTCGGCTAAACTTAAATCTCTCCGCTTGTTCGCCAGGCACGTTCGATCGAAATTAATTGGCTCTGTCAAGACAGCTGAATTCAAACGCGCTTTCTTTATCAGTTCCGGCATAAATTATTAAGGAACACGGCCTCCACAAATCAGTCTTTACTTCTTTATACTATCATTGTAAACTCATATTTATCCTTTTTCATTTTCTTATCGTACTATTTCTTTTTGTCTAGGTAAGTTTACAAAACTTATTTTAGGGAAAAGTCAATAAGTAAATATTTAAAAGCCAAACAAATAATAAAAAGATAAATATAAACAATATTTTTTAAAAAGAGATATAAAAAATGTGGTATCCTTAAAATATTCAGGATACACTATCTACGAGATGTCTCAAGATATGTGACCGGTGAAATGATATCTGATTTAACATAAGTCTCACAGTCAGATATACACGGAAAAAAACATTTAGCTGCTGTAGCTAAAGTAGTAAAATATGGACAGCGAATATTTTTAGTTGTGATAGCTCAATATTTTGCTACGACAGCAAACGGTTTGCTGTCGTAGCAAAATATTGAGCTATCACAACTAAAAATATTCGCTGTCCATATTTTACTAAGTTTTAGCTACAGCAGCTAAATGTTTTTTTCCGTGTATTTTATTGTGTGGGAAAGTTAAGCGACGTGTGATAAAACCGCTTATGCACAAGCGAGCATATCTCAAAAGGAAGCCATAATTGGAATATACTCGTATTTATTCGTTAATTTCGCATGGTATTACGCCCGGTTTTGCATGTACATATGTACGTGCACATTTCTGATAACTGCAGCTTTATGACTCACGGCGACGATAACGCACGCGGCGGCACGTGTTACAAAATAGAAGTTATCTTTTTTGCGCGAGCTACTTAGGCCGAGCACTCCCGCACATTGGAACGCATCTTGTTAGATCATTGATAAAGTTGTTTACTCGGCTCTATTCTACGCTCGCATCTCACGTGAACCGACCACGCGCATTGTTCGCAACGCGCGCTCGTATTTATGCCGTGGTTATCACGTAGAATCGCGTCGGCGTCGGGTAGATAAGTCAATTTCGACTTACCTCTTCGCGCTATTCGCTCTTATTAGCGTCCTTTCATGTCGGCGAGCAAGCAACAGCTCTGTTGACACTGTCTTTTATTTTTGACACTGTCAATTATCGCTTGTTACTCCAGCTGCCGTGAGCTTCCGTATTTTCGTGACGTTTAAAAGAATAATTTTTTATTCACGAGAGATGTCTTGAAAGCACTATTGCGTATCGCACGTAATTTTTTCAAGCAACCGTTTCTTCTCGTTATAGTCGTATTGAATTACGACAGTAAAAATCGCGCAAACGGTTATCATCTTGCAATACGAATTATTAGTTTTTATTTCTCTCTTTTTTCCCTTACATCGCAACGTTGAACGTGCGTGCAGAACGTTTATTTCCGGATATAGCGCGAAAAGGAGATTCGTAATAATTCCGACGTAATACAATACGGCTGTAGTGAGAAAATAATATTTATAGTTGAAATAATATTTTTAACTAATACGCGAGAGCGTTGATATTCCTCAAGCTTCGCGATTCGAGCGCAGCTGAATGATTTAATTTTCATTATTTTGAAAGATACGTCAGTAATAATTTTTCTATATTAATTCAGAAGAGAGACCTTGCCGAAATCCTCTCGAGATCTCTGCGAGATGATGATCAGGTTTATCAAATCAGGTTCAAATAGCTCCGAGGCAGGATCCGTGCCGAAGGGATCTTGGACCTTAGGAAAAATCCATCGATTCCCTATAAACGAATTTACTGTAGTTTATTCTAGTTATTTTTTTCGACGACATTATTTATTGACTACCCGAACTCGGTCAATTACACAATTTCACTCATTCGAAATTTCGTTCCACAATTTGAATTCAATGTAATTGCCAAGATATTTTCACAGAAACTCTGGATGTTCGTGGAATTGACGACAAGTCGATTTTGCAGTCGACGAGTGCACGATGTAAATTTTCACTTATCGACTAACTAAATTACTATTGTATTATACAGAGTGAGTCACAAGTCACTATAAGGTCGAATGGTGAACTGTTACGCGTTATCACTAAATTTGAATGTAATTGTCAAGGTATTTTCATTTCACGAAAACTCTAGCTCGCGGAATTGACGACGTCAATTTTGCAATCGATAAGTACACGATGTAAATTTTCACTTATCAACTAACTAAATTGCTGTTGTATATACTGTTTGTACAGAGTGGGCCACAAGTCACTATAAGGTTGAACTTGTTACGTTACCACTAGATTATTAAATACGCTACGTCATTACTTAGGAAAAATATCTTCCAATTGCTTTTCAAACAAAAATCCTTTCTTCCTTAGTAAACATGTTACTGACACGAGTAAATCAAGTCACGACAATTAATTACATAACATTAGATGGACAGATTAGATTAATTGTAACATTTAATTAGATTAGATAAAAAGCTTTAACAGCTGTTTGCTGTTTCAATAAACATTAGAATGGGTAGTGACTTTTGATTCATCCTATATGTCGTACTTATCGCTGTATATAATTATATATTATCGTTCGAGAAGTACTGCATTCTAATGACTGCGGCCCGCAATGACAAGTGATATTCTGAGGTCGTTGGAACGTAGAAAGAGAGAGATTAATACAAATAAACTCGATAACTATTTATGCGTGCGAATAAACACGCGTTTATCAGCTGACAAAGCGCAGAGCCTCGCGCAAGTCACGCTCCGTTTATTTTCAGGCTTCTCTCATTTATTCCGGGGTTTTGCATATTATTCAGACAAACATACGTCAGTAATAATTTTTTCTCCATTGATACATACATGTTTAGAACGAGTCGCTTATCGAGATCTTTGCGGCGAAATCACGTTCATCGAGTCAGACGCGAATAGATTCGAGGCAGGATTCGTATACTGACGAGACTCGGAGTAGGTCATGACGATATAAAAAGCAGGTTTTGGTGAAATTTTCATAGTCTACGCTGAATCCTCGTCATTAATCCCCTTGGTAGTGATTTCGACAAATTCCTCCTGAGCCCGTTCAGGAGCGCAATGTATCCGCGTTTCGTGCCGCGGTTTTGACCTTCGCGATCACTTGAGCGAACGCTCATTTTGATTACTAGGTGCCGCATATCCGCCGGTTCGGAGCTAGACGCATCTCGTGCAGATACAGGCTCGTGTATAAAATTAAGATGCGAATCCGATTTCTGATTGGAACACGTGCGAATAAACTTTGTCTCACCCGTACGCAACAACTTGAATTGAACGTATTATTTTTGCCATCGTTATCAATCGTTCTCTCTCCGAATAAATGCGTTGAACGTGTTACACTTGGATAGATACGAAAATATTTGAACACTCGCAGGTGTCTTAAGCAGAAATTTACATCGACTTGCTAATCTACCTCGTTGCGCGACACCATCTATACGTAAATATTAAACTTAAAAATAGTATGTGCCTCTCATTAATATTAAAATACTTGCCCGATTTTGTGGATGATAATATATCGCATGGCAAGTGACAGGTTACAGCGTGGGTTAACTATGTATTTTGGCATTATTTATGTGACAATCGTACGAATGCACAAATCTCTTTGTCGCAAAGAATGTACATTTACATAGTTCTGTATATCGTTATTTTAGTATGCAAGCACAAAGAGCACGAGTCGCAAAGAATGTATATTTACACAGTTCTGTACATTGTTATTTTAATATGCAAGCACAAAGAGCACGAATATTTTCAGTTTTTTTTTTCGAGTTATCTCTTTATTTTTTAACCCTTTGAAGCATACATTTTTCTGTTGAACCATTTTCTGTGAAACTTTGTATACAAGGGTTTTTGGGGTCGCTGATTACGAATCCGTTATCAGATTTTCATAATTCAAAATGGCGGATTCAAGATGGCGGAATTAAAAACTTAAAAAAAATTACATCATTCAACTGTACTTCAACTATGCTAAGAAACATTATTTAGATATTATTAGGACCCATGGAATCTAAATTCTAGTTGAAAATCCTTGTAGAATATAAAAAATAGCCCGCACGCGAAATGACGGATGCAAAATTGAAATTCAATAATTTCTCAGAATTTACTTATTCTTGGCACTACCCAGAGCTAACGACGCGGACGTGATGAGTCCCTAAATACCGCAATCAAATAAAAATGCTGAAAATGTTGAAAAACTTTTCGTTAGTTTATCGATCACGGTTTTATTTTCACGTATGCATAAGCGATCGTCCCCTAGTAGCACAGTGCACGGACCAAACGTTGGTTAAACATTGGCCCAATACAACGAAATATTGGGCCAATGTTTAACCAATGTTTGGTCCATGCACTGTACTATTAGGGTCAGCATTGTCATGGTCACTCCAGATACCCAGTCAGAAATGACTGGAAAACCGTCGAAACGATATCGAATCGATGCATTTCTGGTTCCATTTTCGAGCCAAGTCGAAAATGGAACCAAAAATGCATCAATTCGATATCGTTTCGACGTCGGTTTTCCCGTCATTTCTGACTGGGTAGCAACGCATGTCTAAAAGATAACTTAATGCCGTCGTAAAGGTGTCTTTTAGATATGCATGCTATCTGGGACCTCATACTCGTCGTAATTCGTAACGTTCGTTAAAATTTTAGAACATTGGGCTGTAACACGCGTATGGTTCATACCGTGATACAACCGACTACGTGGAAAACAAGCAAGGACGAAAGTCGAGAGATGATGGCTATGTGGCCGGATGTTGTTCGCGATCTCACGGATGCGACTAAGAGTTTGAATATGCCCGATGTTACCAAATGGATGGCAAAAGTAAGTCGTTGAATAATACTATTAATTTAAATTATTAATTGAAGTACCATTCAGCAGTTACAGATACATATACGAGATTAGAATTTATTCGATGGATCGATTAATCGTTTCGGGAATACATTTTTTTGGTATGATTAGATAAACTCGGGTATGATGGCCATAGTTTTTAATGCAAAAAGCACATTTAGTTTTGTTCCTTTTTAATTGTGTTTGGTGTACTGCTTCATTGGAGCTTAAAGTACGCAATACTATCAAATCTAACGAAAAAAGCACTCAACATAAATTTTATATTATCAAAGTATTACAACGTATGTATTAGCTACCTTACCTAAGGAAAACATAGCCATAGTATTACTGGACAGTTGTCCATACATATTAGGGGAGACCGGGGCTCGTTGTCACAAGAGGCAAGTTGGCATTGCGTTCCGTTTATGTATTTATGGCAAAAAATAATACAAAAGTTACCGTAAAATATCTCTCTCCGTGATCGATGCGTGACTCCACCTCTCGCTACCGCGTGCTAGGAGATATAAACAAATAAACCATTTTGCATGCCTGCCGGGTCCGGTCTTCCGCTCCTTGTGCGTTCAAAATTTGTACGACTCAATAAAAAATTAAGAAACTTATGTTTACTGATACATAATACAGACTGTAACAGTAAAACGAAGTTTGAAACAGTAAGTCATAAATTTGAACGAATACACAGATTAATACTTGTCTCTGTTATACAGATATTACAGTACAACGTTCCGGGAGGCAAAAAGACTCGCGGTTTAGCGTTAGTCTATGCATATAAGCTACTGGCACCAAGTGACCAACTTACCGAAGAAAACATTCGCCGAGTTCGAATTTTAGCATGGTGTCTCGAACTGGTGCGTAACCACTGTCTTTTCTTTCTTGATACTGATTTTTTTTATACTTTTCATAGACCAATTGATTAATATCGGCTTAATCAGAAGATACAGGCAACATATATTAATTTCTAACATTTTTTTCAAATCAAAGTATTGTAACGCCGCTCCCTTGCCGGAAGGACGTTGGCAATCCCGCGGGTCTCACTCGCGCGCGATTACAGATTATAATATCGAAAAGTTTTTTTGTATTATAATATCTAATATATTATAATATCTAAAAATTTTCTGTTATACAGATGCAAGCCTATTTCATCATACTCGACGATATAGTAGATAAATCGTTATTTCGTCGAGGCCAACCATGCTGGTATCGATATAATGATATAAATCTAGCGGCAGTCAACGATGGTTTAATACTAGAGAGCGCAATATATTATCTAATTCGAAAGCACTTCAAAGGGAATGACTACTACGTTAATCTATTAGAAACATTCCAGGATGTGAGTGAAGATATTTTCCTACCGATCGTAAACACGAATGCCAGTTGGTCCTTTCAATTTCTTTTTAATCAAGGAATTATACATGAAAGCATTTTCTCGACAGATCGCGTTTAAGACAACAATAGGCCAATGTTTAGATTTACTCTCTACCAATTTCGGTAAGAAGCCCAATCTGGATCTGTTCACAATGAATCGATATAATTCCATTGTTATGTACAAATCGTCATATTATACGTTTCTTTTGCCAATAACCGCGGCAATGCAGTTAGTAAGTGTACCTCAGTTTTCCTTCACGCGAATAGATCGATTTGCTTCAACGATAATAATGCACTTGTTGCTCGTTCCTTGACGCAGGCTGGAATAAAAGACTCAGAAATGTTCAGGCAAGCAAAAACCATCTTGTTAGAGATGGGACATTTATACCAAGTTCAGGATGACTATTTGGATACTTTTGGGGATAGCAAGGTCATTGGCAAAGATAGTACTGATATCCAGGAAGGGAAATGTTCATGGCTGGTTGTCGTAGCTCTTCAACGTGCTACTCCGGAGCAGCGTAAGATTTTAGAAGTGAGTTTTGTTAGATTACACGTCTTTCGCAAACACATTTATCAAGCACAATTGTATTAATCCTTTCTCTCTTTCTCTTTATTATGCAGGATTGTTATGGATTTCCCGATCCAGAGAAAGTAAACCGTGTAAAACAGCTTTACATTGATCTGGGTTTGCCGAACACTTACTCTACATACGAAGAAGAGACATATAATCTACTAAATGTACATATACAGCAGATATCACGCGGACTTCCACATAGGCTTTTCTTGAATTTATTAGGAATGCTTTATCGCAGAGTGTCATAACGCAGTTGTGTATATTGAAGAAAGAAGCTAATGTATTAATGCTTTATGAATTAAATGTACTTTTGCATTATAAAGTACGATAAAAGGAGAAATATTTTGCCAAGAGTACCGCGAAATGTTGCGTCAGAGTGAAAAATCAACAGATCTTTTGTAAACTTTTATGTACAGAAAAAATATTTCACTCCAAAAAAGTCAATAAAAGTTTTCTAAAGCATTTGATATTAATAATATTTAAATTATCCATGATAACCATATATTTTATAAATATTATTTTGACTAGGTGAAGAAATTACAATGTATAGGTCGTTTTTATAAGAATATACTTTTATACTTTATAATTAATTGAAACATGTAACTGTTATACGTATGTATAGCAGCATGCAGCATCGTATATATTTGAATTTCGAATTTGGAGATTGAAATCGTAAGTAAAATAACGGCATTGGTCGTTGGGGCAAACGGGAGCCATGTTTGGGCCAACCGAACCGCGAACACACCTGAACATGTCGACCCGTCGTCGCGAAAGGCGATTGGTGGACGCGTTCGCGGGTCACGCGAGTCACAACGCGCTGGCTGCACCGCCATGGCGCCAGTGATGTAAACATTGGCCCGCCAGCACCGTCGAGTGCTACACCAGCTGCACTACGATGCGGAACGCGCGCGAACGCAAGCCGTGTCCGTGAGTGCTGCTACACGGAACGCTTAATCGGGTTTAATAACATCTGTAGTTATAAAACTGGCCAATCACAACTATTCCTCAGAAGAATGGAATGACTGTGATTGGCCAGCCCTTTAACTACGGATGTTATTAAACCCGATTAGAGTGCCGTGTAAACATAGTCAATGACGCTCGGCGCCCGGCGGCGCGGGAACACGGTTTGTGCTGTGTGCGTGAGCATTGTGGTGCAGCACCCAGTGGTGCTGGCGGGCCCAAAGCTTGCGTCGCTGCACGGAGCGTCGGAGAGGAGTACGCTCTCTCGGCTGCGGGCGCGCACGTACCAGGATCAACGGGGGATGGGGCCATCGTCGGTGGCGCATAGTCTATGGCGGGACGGGAATAAGAACGCGCAAACCTGAGCAACGAAGCGCGGCGAGTAGGGCGAGTGTGGACGTTCGTGGGGCATCGTTAGCCGGTATCGATTCGCGGGGTTCTCGCCTGGGTTCACATCCGCCTGGCCGGCGCTCCGGTTTCCCGAACGCCCCGAGTGATCGACGCGGCCGGCAGGCGCGGTGCCGTTATGACGGATCCGCGCGTCGCCGCATATCGTACGCGTTTCGGCGACTCGTGCCGTGCGGCAGCAGCAGCTCCCTTCGCGCGCGCGAACGGAAAGAAGACCTCGCCGAGCAATGGCGCGCCGGGATGCTAACGAGTGGTAGGCCAGCTGACCACCGTACGGCAGACAACATGGTAGCCCGCAGTGGCCGCGCACCGGGAGGCGACAAGTTTCCGCGTACGTGAGCTACGAACGGCGCGGGGAGGGTGGGACGCGGGTTCCGGACCGGGGAGGTTTAGGCTACGATGAGTACTGACAGTCATGATCAGACGAAACCCTGCAAAACACCCGCGAGGAGCGAGGAGGAGAGCGCGTTCGACGGTAAACGGATTAAGAAGGAGCACGGTGACGTTTGCGTGGAGAATGGCGACGCCGCAACCATCGCCGTTGCCGCCGCCGCGGCCACCACCACCACCTCTGCAACCTCCGCCTCCTCGGCCGCCGCCGCTACCACCGTCCTCGAGAAACGACAGCCGCCGGCCGGCAGATTTGCCTCCAACGGCTTCCACGGGGATGGCGATCAGCTGCAGGACCTCGTCGCGACCAAATTCGCAACCTTGGCCAACCACGGCGCCTCCTCCAAGCAAGACAAGATTCGGATTGTGATAGAGGATGGCATTAGGTTACGTCGTTTTTTCAGTCTCGTAGAAACTCCACGTAGATTCGCTTTTCACCGTGGCCTGTTTGCCTTATAATTTAGGAGATTCATGTATCACTTTGGAATCTGCTTTTGTTTCTCGTTTCTAACATGGGATGATCCCAGCAGATTGGCACCTACGGTTTATGTTAATTTAATTCTGTCGATTCTGTCTGTAAGAGCCTGTCGAGGTTGTAATTCAGCAACGGATTGCCGGCAGAGATTGCACCAAGTTGTTGGGCTGTAGCCATTAAAATTGACATACATCATTTAAATACTTACAAATGGGTTCCACCAGCAGATTCTGTTGCATTCTTGCTGACAAAATCTGTGACGTTGCTCCATGCCGAACCTGTTTTTCGCAGATTCGACTGTTCGAAACGTTCTTTTTATTCAAAATTCCTCACGTATGGTAGCAGGATCGGGAATTGAAACTCGATCTTTTTCTCAACTGCTCGACCACTGAACTTTCCGGCGCCGATTGCTTTAATTAATATTGTATATAAATTCTCTAAATAGCAAACTTATATCTCACGGTGACAAGAGTGCTTAGAGATACTTGATTCTCATAGCTCCACCGTTAACATGTTTCTAGATACTGTAGTTATTTAGTGACAGCCATTTGTTAAGCATTGTGTCCACGATCCGAGAACTGCGTCCAAGTTCTAGCTCCGAGAAACGTGCAGCCAATAAACTTGCTTTCCCATAAAAGATGCCGGTTGATTGACCACACATTTCTCGGAACTAGAGCTTGGACACGGTTCTTGGATCGTAGACACAAGACCTTTACCTGGACAGTTCGTCTGGGAATTGTAACGTTGACAAGCGCCAGTTTGATTGTGCACGGTCGATTAATACTTTATTATAATATTACAAAACATTTTCATATAAAGGAAAATCCTCTATTATGATATGGGCTTCTAATATGAGACAGCAGGTTTTCAGCATCCAAATTCACGCGGCGACTATACAATCTAACAATGAATTTTTCACTAAATAGATCTCGCTCCAAGGGCAATAAATTCATGGTGGCACAGACGATGCCTATTAACTTCCCAAGTTATTGGTGGAACATATTGGTCATGGAAACATCAAGATGACATCATTTTTCGATCATTTTTTATGCATCGTGGTGACGTCAAAATAGCCCACCGAGAGCACATATTTGTGACATCAATAAGACATCGAAATGTTGTAAAAATAATCTCGTTTTACAAAGCAAAGTTAATTAAGTATTATACATCAAAAATAAATCGAAGTAATATAAGACAAACATAATATATGACTGATCATGTAATCTGTAATAATATATTATTATACACGTCACGAATATCATAAAACAGCGTGTCATTAGTCAGTCATTGCGAAGTAAATCTTGATGTCGATCATTTTATGACGTAAAATTCGTCATTTTAATGTCACATTGACGTTTTTGTGATTAACTTGTTCTACTTGGATTAGCAGAAACCCCGCTGTCTCATATTAGGGGACTCTATAATATTAGCTTTATCGCGTATATTTGGGCATTAGAATTCTAAGAGATGCAGAGTACTTTTATGAAAAAGAATTTATACTCTTTTCAATTGAAAAATTTATAAGCGAGAGAGAATGCAGATTAAATACTACATGTAGAATATCTTGTGTGGTAACATTTGACGCTAGAAACATTTCTATCGATCTTTTAATAATAGTGCACGTGAAATGTCAATATTGGATAAAGCAGTAGCGTTCGTGCGTTCTTCGTGAATTTCTTCTCGTATTCGAGGATTATTTGAAAACTATGTTCGACATGTATCTCCCTGCAGATCCCACTAACCCGACAAATTGTTTCTATTACTATGAGATCTGGTCTATCGGTGAAAAGGTTTTCTGCCAAATATTCTTCATTCGCGGTGTCCGTTTTCATACCTTACGTTTTCGCGTCCTTTGAGAGATCGTTCAGCTTCGGTCGGAGTCAATAATATGCGTCATCTTTTCAAATTGCAGCGAAGAATCTAGAGCGCACGTGGAAGAGATCTTCTCGCGGGTGGAACGACTTAAGATAGAGGAAAAGTTATTGTTGTACCTGAAACTTCCGTTGCTGCTGAGAAACCCGAGTGGGATCGTAGATCCGTTGAGGCAGCCGCTGAATCCATTAGGAAATCGCTACGAAATTCATCAGACCATCATGTGGATTAAGACTCATTTAGAAGAAGACCCGGATGTATCTTTACCGAAGCAAGAAGTGTACGACGAATACAAGTAGGTTCGCCGCCGTGATTACAGAATGCGGAGGGGAGAAATTTGGAATTTTGTGCATCCTTGCAACCACAAGTCACTTGACCGATTTCAAGCCGATTTCTGCTCAACAGTGACTTATCTCTCGCGATATTTTACTCGTTTAATTGTCAATGTTTTCCCATTCGATCTGAAAATTATTAAAGTGAGAAATGACGGAGTTAGATGTACATTTGTTATCTTGGTAAAAGTTTACAGATAGAAAGACATTTCTTGCATACGAGTTTTTGTTTTCAGTATGTATTGCATAAGAAATTCTATGAAGCCGTTATCGACGGCCGATTTTGGAAAAGTCATGAAACAAGTGTATCCGCGAGTGCGGCCTCGTAGACTGGGCACACGAGGCAATTCTCGCTACTGTTACGCTGGTATGCGCAAGCGAATAAAACTGGGCCCTCCGACACTGCCAAAGATATCTGGCTCTGAATCTGTGAGACAACACATATATATCCTACTATTTTTGCCTGGCATATTTTATCGATTGCTTGTCACTATTTTTTTTACTTCAGAAAATTGCTTCGATATTTTTCTCCATTTTTCTTATTTGTTATGCTTTAAACCTAAAGCATTGCGCTTATTATATGAATATTACATGACGTGACAATCGTCACGTTAGATATGTCATTTTGCTTGGTTTTACTTCTTTTTCTGCAAATACTCCTCCCCTGTTGTTTTTTTATGTGATGTTAAATATCTAATGTGTGCATATTTTAATAAATTCTATTAATAAATTCAGGAGGAACATTCGGAGGAGAACGTTACTGAAGAAATGCTGGGCGCTGCATCCACGTTGATCAGGGAATGGGCGGAAAAAACGTTGGGCCAGAAATTTCCAAATTTGAGTGCCTTAGCGCGGCATCTTGTTGATAACTTTTGTGTCGATACTCATTCTCTTGCTGCTGTATGCATTCTCGCAACTTCAGGCCAGCATGATGCTTCGTCTAATAAAGGTGAGCAAGACTTGTTGAATTATTTTCATAAAATACATCGCCCTTCATCCTGCAATCATTAATTCTCAATTGTTAGAGGTGATCTCGGATCTACCGACAACGCCTGTAAGTGGTAAGCCTGCTAAGCTGCGAGAGGCTCAGTTGCAGCTGCAACGCAAGCTTCAGCAACGCGAGCATATTAAAGATCAGAAGCACCGTTGTCCTGATTCTGGTGTACAGGTATATACACTCAGTCCAAAGAAACGTTTGAAAAAGGTTTTTCAAAAAAAGAAATTGAAGCTTGAAATTTCTACTTTAAGAATCGATACAGCAGAGTTTTGCGAGATAATTTTTTTCAAAGTGGCGGATGACGAAACGAGAGCAGGCGAAATTGACAAATTCGTTGCCGTAGTTCGACGCGTTTATGGAGTTTTAGCTTTAGATCTCTAACATGGTTTCATATGGTGAGATACGAAGCTGGGCAGTCATTAATAATTGGACAGAATGTATGTACATGTTGTATTAATCCAATCAGTACATATGTATTCTGTCCAATTCTAAGTAGCTGCCCTGGCTTCGTCGTAACATTGCTGTTAGCAGTCTGGGTATATAAAAGTGCTCGATCCTCGAGAAATGTGTCAATAATTCTTAAATAGTATAGTTAAATAGTTAAATAGTAACAGAAGGCCAAAACATAATGCATTTCTAATTAATACGATTAACTAAGAGTTTGATTATACTTTTGCATGCAGAATATAATTGATTTTTCACAGAACAAAGAAAAAGTCATCGACAGCAAAGGAAATGTCAGTAAGGGATGCAAGAAGGTCAAGTCCAACCAGTCACCTCAAGATACAAATGCAGCAGCAACAACAGTGGTCACACCAAACTCACTGACAAAACTCAACTTATCTACTGTAGTCTGTAACCGGCAAAGAAAGGTATCGAAAACTTGCAATCAACAGCAACAGCAGCAACAAACTTGCAATGTCTCCCAAGAGTCTAACTGTGATAACCTAGTGGTACAATCGCGCGACGACAGACAGAGTAATAGCAACCTTAGAGTAATGATGAGTGCGCAGCGCGATGTTAAAGGTAAAAATTCCAGGAAACGTGCCAATAATCCAATTGTAGCACAGCAGGAGCCCAGCCCTGAGAAACAGACGAAGCTCACGGAGGAGAGTCCAGAGCATTCCAACGCTTTGTTACCCAAGTTAGCGTCTATCCAACGCTCCGGCAAGATATCAGTGATACTAGCTAGCAATTCAAAGTCTATCAAGTGCAAACCAGTTGACACTGCGGACAATCGGCTTGCTAAAAACTGTGATATTGACTCGTCGAAGAGTTCCACTACCGGCAACGTGGTGGAAACGTCCTCGAGACTCCTCACGGGGGACCAGATTCGCCTTCTGCAAGACACGCCGGTCTTCAAAGATGAGAAGGTCCGTGATATCGACACAGACGCCTTGGACGATTATTTGAATGGCGGGAACAATTCGCAGGAGCAGGAGGAGGAGTTGTTACAGTATTTTCAGCAGAGTAGCTCGTCTAGTTCCGACGTGGAGACCAGCGTCGTCGGTTCCGACGCCGAGCAGATCTCTCGGTCGGACAAAGTGTCGCAGCTGCGATTGATATTGCAACAGAATCTGAAGGCGCCCGTAATCGCTGCCGACCTGACGCCCGTGACCCTCGTTCGGCAGAGCGCTGCCGAGAGCGTCGTGGAGAAACGGGACCCCGTGCAGAAACATAATCTCATACTCCCGACGCTTCTAAATCACCCTAATCCGGGCAACACGCGACGTCGCGTCAGCTTCGAGACGAACGTCGTCGAGCACGTCCAAGAGGCGGCAGCGCCGAGTGTAGCCAATACCGTGCCACAGAGTCCAAACACGCGACGCAGAATATTCAACTTCACCCCGATCTCACCCGGACCACATTCCCCCATTAACGGCCGCGCGTCCAAGTCTAACTCGGCGAACGCGAGTCCGTTCGTATCTCCGCGCAACACCCCGGTGCCGAGGTCCCGCAGTAACCTGCAAGCCGGCAGTTCCAGATCGCGCGGCCAGAAGACGCTCTCTCGTTCCATTTCGTGCAGCGTGCCGTACACCATCAAGACGACGGACACCTTCATCGTACCGACGTCGAGCGGGGCGGAACACGCGCGGCAAGTCCTGACAGCGACAACCAAGACGTCGGAGGTAAAGATCGACTACGCGCAAGTTTCACTAGATCCACGTTCAACTAGACTCTTTGACAATGATATTCAATTTACACAGGTCATAATTTGTATATGTAGATTTATGCGATGTCATGTTCACAATATTCGCGTGAGTTGACGGCGAATACTTGGCTGAAGAAAAGCCGAGTATTCGAAACTAATACCGTTGTTTGTTGCAAATGTGTATTATACTTTGAACACTATGTCGCACAGATACTTGGCCGGTGTATCCTCGCTTTGATTTGTATAAAAGCAAATCTATCTTTATATTATTTAAGCTTAGATGAAAAATTAAATTAAAAAGGGAAGAGTACAATTTAAAAAAAAGGATACAAAACTATGCCAGGCTTCTCGATAAAATATTTATCAAATGTCTTCTCGATCGTAGGTCCTGAAAAGACCACCGTCCACGTATATGGACTTCACGCCTCAGAAACAATTGCTAATCAATTATCCGAGTCAAGAGAATCTGCAAGAGATCAAGAATGTGTATCAGAAGGGCCAGCCACCTCCACTCGACCAGGAGATCACGGAGCTCCTTGACGCTAGTAGACAATGGAGTAACGAGCAATTATTCTGTAGATCGCAGTCGGTGCCGTTGCGCAGAATGATAAATCCCGTGTCCTTAATGTCTCCGATCTCCACGCAGCAATGCCTATCATCGGTACAGAGTCAAAGTTTCAATCCATCTACGAGCAGTTCCGTTGCGCCTACCCCAGTACCGAGCGAATACAATGACTTCGGTTCTGCCATCGGACAAGAGAGCACGTATCTGTTGGATGATACGAACTTTATGTCAGACGAGCAGCCGTTCTTGATGACGGACAAAGGGATCACGTCCGAGAACATTAATAACATTCTTACGATTTTGGACGAGGAGGATCAGCCAAATTTACAAATGCTGTCCGAACAGACTACGGAGGAGGCATTGAGTAACAATACAATTGTTCTAAATGCTTTGCCGAATGCCAATTTAAATCTGTCGGAGGAAGATATGTTGGATCCGTCGAGCATCCTCACCGACGCGAGTGGCACGTTACAGAAGATAATGCAGTCGCGATCGTATCCGAATACGCCGTTGCCCGCGCCGGTGTCTGCGTACACGCCCTCGTACACGGAGGACAGCAACGGCTCCAGATCGTACCCGTCGACGCCTCTGCACACGATGCAATCTCAGGAGGTGTACCAGGATCCGGGCGAGCCGATATTGTCCAGTCCCATCCTTAACTCTCTCAGTTTACAGGGCGACGTGAGGAACGTCGCTGTCGTTACCGTGACCGGCGCCGCGGCCGCTTCTTCCAACAGTCTCTGTAGGAATGTCGCTGATCTTTTGGAGGCCAGTTTTCTCGGAGAAGCCGACACGGAGACGGACGATCTGGATCACCTCGGTAATTTTGACGGCCTGCAAGATATGGATTCGTTGACGCCGCTGTTCAACGAAGTCACCGAGCCTAATCGCTGAGACCATCTTTTTCGGTCTATTCGTAATTTCGCATTTGCACAGGGAGAGGTGTGATAAAATATAGACTGTTTGGGTCTGGTGGTTCTCAATCGTATTATCTCATAGACCACTTTAGGGTAAACGAGAGGCGATTAGAAGCAAGATATATAAGTGAATTTTAATAAGGACTACTTGTAAGATATTATTATTCAATTTTAAGATGTAGGATAATTCGGAATCTTGCGTATCTATTATCTTGTAATTTGATCATACAATTTCAGATATTTTAATTATTTTTTACTACAATTTGTGTATATAGATTTCTATATAGAAGACATTATTTCAGCTTATAGTAAATTATATTTTGACACGCAATTTACTATCCAGGCTGTATTGACGAATGTCTAATTTTCATTGCAATAAAAAGTAGTATCGAAATGTGCAAAAAGTCTGAGAAATTTGCATGATTTTTTGAAAGGTACATGTTTTTAAATTATTAAAGATTATACATCGTTAAGTATCTGATATATATCATTAAAAAGGAATGTTTGTTTTTTTTTCTACGAGACTTTGTTTTATTCCTCGGTGAAACTTTTGATCCCTTTCGCAGAATCGCGTAAATAGGAATTTTTATTTCATTCAATGAATTAATGCAAATTGTATCTTATTCAGGTCGTACACACCGAACACTTGATACAAGAAATATAACTTGTGCGTTTTGGTCTTTTGTGCGCTTCAAACATCTCTGTGAAATTAAACTTGTACGTTTTCGTGAATTCTCAGGATATCGAATTATCAACAGTTTTTTAATTCTACTGTCGGACGATTCACTTACGTTTAATTGTTTAATCCTGCAGAGCACCTAGTTAACCGATGATACGACAACTAGGAGAAAGCTGTAGAGGAAAGTATCCAAAGAAGTTTTATCATGTGTTCCAAGAGGAAGGAGGCCAATTGTTTTACACGACGCTTAATAATTTTATACGATGCCTAATCGTGCAATCCTACATGGCTGAGGTTCATTCAATGAATTAAGTAGTGACTACTCGATGTAACTTTCAGGCGCTGGAAAGGTTGAGAACCACTCGTGCAATTTTATCCACCAAAAGAGATACGAAATGCGCCGCGCTATCGTTCGCCTGACAATTCCTTCGGATTATTACGAGCGAGAACATTCGACTAGAACTCAATTTAACCGACATCGAATTAAGCGATAGAGTACGAGAGCGAGAGACGTGAGTGATCCCTCGCCACGGGGCCCAAAATACTCGCCGCGAGCGATTGCGAACGACGGAACACGACGTTAGAATGCGACGTATTTACTAAACGCACAAGTAACTTTAGGTAGAGATTAATCTTGGTATAATCGTATAAGCAGGCTCGAATTCATATAGCTTAATTCCGCATCTAAAATTTAAATTCAAGTAGCTGTACCCGCGATGTCGCGTGTTCGAGAAAAGAAAAATCTGACAGGAAAGAAGCGCTCGTTGGCGAAACGATCGAGGACTGACGTCGATGCTTTCCGGATCATCGGAGAGACCGGGCACTTGCCACGTGTGTGTATGCGTGTGTGTGTGTGTGTGTGTGTGCGCGCGCGCGATACGTTAGATATGTATGTGTATGGACAATCAGTAGATTTAGTCACACCTGAGAAGCGTCTTGTTGAGACATACGCTTCGTTGAGTTAGTTTTTTTTTACTTGATTTTCGCTGTCAGATTATGTCCGTTAACGCCATTCAGCTACGATAGTCTGTTTTGTTGGCAAATCGCTGGTGGTATCGTCAACATTTTCTTACTGGGTTCAGGACACGTATAGCTTTCTTTCGAACGATGTCGCCGCCGCCCTATCTGCAGAGTATCTAATAATCATATCACGTTTCGTAGACGAGTAGAGCGGGTTAAACTGAAGGGAAAAGTCCTCTACCGTTTTGCAGTTTTCGTAATAATTAGTGAGATCAATTACTAAGCGGAACTTTATTGAATAAGCTTTCCATCGAGATATCGAAGTCGATTTTGGAATTTGTAGTCAATTACGAGTATATTATATAATTATTTGTACTATAAAATTTGATTAATAGAGCGTACAACGCTGACTCGTATTGATTGTTGATTTGTATAACTACGGTTATACATTAACGAATCGAACGACTTCTTTTGTAAGCGCATGAGGTATAATTTTAAAGAAAGAGCGGAGTTCTGCATTAAAAAGAGGAAGAAAGAAAAAAGAAAAGTCAAATTAATTTTCACATGTTATTAATTCTAATTATTTAATTTTTCATCATCTTTTGCGGAAATCGCCAACTGGCACAGGACTTTCTTATTCGGTTTAATCCGCTCTATCTACTTGCGAGCGGTGTTACACCTATTATCAGACATTCTGTATACACGAAGTTCGTCAACGACCAACTGCATCGATTTTCGTTGAGGGAAGATTAGTAGACGTAAGAGCGCCGGAAACGAATGTCATTAAACATTAGGATATCTTTCGCATCAAATATACCTACTTGGAAACAAAATGATATGTTAACAACATTAGTCTAATTGAAAGCCTTGTTAATTTAAGAACAGTATTGATAAAACAATTAACATTTTATTGAAAACAACAGCATCATTTGTTTCATTAATACTGTTATCGAGTTAAGAGATTGTTTTCAGTTATACTGTTGCTAATGCTGTTAACACAATATCCTTTTTTTTCTCGTGCATTTACACCTCGTACATCGTAAAAATGCATCTTGTAGTTTGTCTTGTAGTTTCAAGTAAAAATGTGCATCTTGTGGTTTCAAAACGGTCAAATATTCGACAAATTTTGACTATATTTATAATATACGAAGAAGAAAAATCAATATCTTCGGATCGCGATATAGAAAGCAAGAGATAGATGAAATTAATTTTTTACGGCTCTATAGGTTGTATACATTTTGTCGAAGTATACAACCTTGCAAAAAAAATGTGCATCTTGCAAAAAAGTGGGACAAAATTTTATATACAATAAGTACCTCTCGAGGACTGTCATGAACGTATGTAGATTCAAATATTGCGAGAAACGCAGTTTTCCGATTATTTATAATGACATTGTTTTTCAAGTCTGTGGTCACACGCGGGAATTCTCGGGAATCCCGAGTTCCTCGAAGTGCGTAGCGTGTGGGGAAAGAAAACCGACGTGTCGCAGTTGAGAGAGTGCGCGAGAATAGAATGGACATGAACGTTCATTCAATTGTCAAAAGTATCGTACGGGGTAGAACGGCGGCAAGTCGAGCGGTATATCCACAATTGTACGTCGGAATGGCTTTCTCTCAATTAGATGTACATGCAAATGTATAACGACGAAACCAATCGGAGATCTAACGCGCCGTGGATGAGGAACGGATCGATTGTCCAATTAATATCGACGGGTCGGGAAAAGGCGATTGTCCACGCCGAAGACTCGAGACTCATCCGGGATCGTTCGATCATGTTCGATTCTCCAGGAATTCTGTCTTCTGACTTAATTTATCTTATTATATAACACCGCGGTTGGCAGGGCCCAGTCACATGGATGGAAAAAGCAGTTTCGCTGCGCGTCCCGGCGCGTGCGAGACGCAGACGATTACACTTTGCTTTGTAAATAAAAATCCTCTCTCTTTTTTTTTAGAACGAACCAGTCATTGCATAATTTTCCTCTTGCACTTTTATTGACTGCAGCCCGATAAAAACGCATCGATGACGTACCGCGTCATCGACTCGCGTGCGTTGTACGACTATTAAAAGTAAGGACATTTTTGTAAGTGCTCTTTCATATTATCTCTCTTTCATTACATGCCTTTTGCAGATGCTATTTAGGGAATCAAAAAATGTTTCGAGGATAACTCGGCGTTAAAGGCGAGCAAAGTTGTAAGAGAAAGCTGTTTCACAACTTGAGGACTTTTCGACTCAGTTTTTAACAAGAAACAACGCTATGTAATTAGTGGGCGGTCTTTCAGAGTTATCCTGTATGTATAATATATTCCATAATCGTGCACGTACAAGGGGACCTTACCAATTCGAAAATTCGGATTTCAATTTTTTGGGTTTCCTTTCGATTAGGTCCCCTTTAATATGTTGTCTGGTAGTCGCTCTTTTTGCGGTAATTCGAAATAAGCGAGAAATCACTCTTCGAAGTTAAAGAAATTCTTATCTTTTCTCGATATATCTCGTAAGCTAAACGTAATATAAAAAGAAGTTTTATACAAAAGTTTTACAGTAGAAATATCTCTATTTAATTACGCCATTTTGGAAAACAAATTTTTTTTAATTTATTTTCAAAAATTACCGCACAAAAAGCGACTACCAGACAACATTTTAAAAGGGGCTTAATCGAAAGAAACCCTAAAAATTGAAATCCGAATTTTCGAATTGGTGAGATTCCCTCGTTAGATTTTTCAATATGTCCGCGTTCTTTATTTCTCAGAATTTTTAAAATTCCAGATGGCATCAACGTACTCGCGATATTTGCTAACACTTTGCTCCAGCTCATATAAATATGAATTTATTATAAAATAACGACGGTAAATGTTCTCGATTGCATACCGTTTGTGCAACATTTCGTTCACAGCGCAGGCTGACGATTTAAATTGAGCGGGTTTGTGCCATATTTGACACTTAGTTCTGCCCGGGTGATTGTTTACATCTAGATGGCGCGACGTTCAGCGGTCCGAGGCGCAGGGTGTCTCGCCGGTTCAGCCTCGGCCTCGTGGACCATCGTTGACGCGCATAATGACATCGTGTACTTTTTAACTGCATAAATTTCATATTAAGTTTGACGGTGGACACGTGACGCGGGTCGCAAGAAGCTTCGCTTCCGCTCCTTCGAGGTCTTGTCTACGACGCGGAATTTTTGGGACATCCTGTACGTGGGGCCGAGATTCACGGTGATTGGCTGCGATCTGCGTTTCAAGGATAATAGAGGTCAGTGTGTCTTCAAGGTTCCGAGAAGGTAAAAATATTGACAAAGAGTTCGTAAGCTATATATATTTTCGTCTTCGAACGCGCTGGCCTGGCGATTTTATAAAACCGATGAAGTCACGTTGCGTGGCGTAGTGATCATCCAATCGTGACATCGCATCGAACTGGTAGGCGTGCCGTAGTGATCATCCATAATAATCGTGACATCGCGTTAACTCGACAGAAGCGTCTCTCTCTGCGTCACAGCGACACGTTACTTCTTCGCTGCGACGGGAAGGTGCAACTACGTTTTTCGCCACGAAGGAGTTTCTGTTTTCGACAAGGATGCTGCGTGAGTATATACGCGTATATAAAGGAAGATTCGGTCTCCTAGAAGGGATTTATTTCGACCTCTCCTACTGTACTGCGAGAACTTGGATTCCGCGCAAGTTTTTCCAATTTTTCGGAGCAGCGGCCGGCTTTTTGTTCCCCGTCGTGCGCGAGTATTATAAAAATGAAGAAATTTTTCCGAAGGGTTTTTCAGGAAAATGTCATTGTATTTTTTACAATATATATATGTATACTTTTTCAACTTTTTATACATGTTTCTCGTTTGACTTTCTCGTGCTTTTTATTGTTATGAAGAGAGAGTCCAGGAGGACGCGCAAAATTTGTTTTGCAGACCGAAAACAATTAACAGAGCGTATTTCGGATTATCTTATTGTTCTCTCCCTCTTTTTATGTCTCTTGTTTCCGACTTTTTAATTTTATTTATTACTAACTTAACTTTTAATTCAATTAATTGCATTACGAATTAACTTGTAGCTTAACCAAGTTACATTTTCAAGGCTGTTAACTTTAGCTTAACTTAGTTAACAAAAAAAAAGAGATAACTTACCCAATACTCTGATATACAGATTTATCTTATGCAAAAGGCAGTGAAACTTGTGATCATACCACATATATACCTAACCGACACGCTGTATTTGGTAGATTATTCTAGTCACGTTCGTAAAAGATTTATAGTAGTGCCGGTCGAATATTCTACGAACATAAGATAATTATACAGGGTGAGGAAAAAGTACCGGACCGTTGAAATATCTCGAAAAATATGGAAGATACGGAAAAATCTTTCAGACAAAAGTTGTACGGTTTTAAAAGGGCTATGTAATGGTAAAATTAATTTTCGGAAAAGATAAATTTTTTATGGTTATATGGAGGTCGCTGCAATTTTTTTTAAATGAAACTCCCCATTGTTTATTATACTGTCTTATTCTACTAATTAATATGAACAACTTTTGTCTGAAACATTTTTCCGTATCTCCCATATTTGTCGAGATATTTCACCAGTCCGGTACTTTGTACTCACCCTGTATAAGAATGGCCTATGGAATATTCCAAATATTCTTAGAGAATATTCTTAAAATGGTCATAGGAGTGTCTTGTGCTATGTGGGATGATGGGTCCATTTATACACCCATGGGTAAACCGCTGAGGGCATTGTGGTATATCTACATATTTTGGGCATTACTAGGCACTTTCGGGGCGTTAGTGGGTGTTGTCTGGCCTTGCTTAGTCATTTCAAAGAATCTAAAAAGATAACACAAGATAAAACATGAGAAAGTAAAGTCCACTGGGCATTAGTAGGCGTTGTTGGTGTACGTGATTTTGAGCAGGGGTCATTTAGTTATCGAGAAATTGTTTACTTGGTCGCAATGAACCTAGCAAAAGTGTAACAAAAATATTAAAATGCGATGGAATGTGTTTTTGTTAAAACACTATTTGAAAATTTATTACACAGAATAAGGTAGGATTGACTTTATAAAATTATTATTCTGCTTTTACTTATAGACTATTCTACCTGTTCTTTTTTTTTTATTAATTCTTTTACTATATATATTTTTTAGTTATTTTAGTTATTTTTTAGTTATTTTATGTGCTCTTTAAATATTTTTCAAATTAATCTGTTTTTTTCAAATTAATCTGTTTTAAATATATTTCGCGTATCTTTGGTTAAATTAATTGTATCACGTTTCTTTTTCCTAATTCTAAAATATTAGCAACTGGTACCAATAATTAGTATTTTTAAATGTGTTCATTGCTGTTGATAATAAGGAAAACATTACTTGTTTTTGAAATTGAATGTCTTAGTATGTTTATGTCTGTCCGAAGCATTGAACATAAAACTGATACATAAATGTAAGATTAACGAAGTGGAAAGGTCATCGTCCACTTTATCGAAACCAATATTCCTGAAAACGATGTAGTACTACAAAGAAAATTATTTCACAATTTCGTTTTACTATCGCGCAAGCATGATTATACTGAATTATTAGTTGTATCATGGTATTTGATAAAGTTTAACATAATACATTTTCCTTGAAAAGAGGAATAGAAGAGGGAAAAGGATACGTGAGACCAACAGTCACATTGAAAATGTGACTATATTAATGTATTGTGTTATTTGTAGGAATCGCGTCGATATTCTTGCTTATTGCCGCCACGGAAATCATTGCACACGATTGCGCAGACAAGGACGCGCCATGTCCTACGTTTAAACAAGACACCGACTGGCAGTCGGCCACCTCGGTTTACGATTTCCATGCGAACGACATCCTGGGCAACGATGTCGCACTGGACAAATATCGCGGCCACGTCCTCATCATCGTTAACGTTGCCAGCCAGTGCGGTTTAACGGATGTCAATTACAGGCAACTTCAACAGTTGTACAATAAGTATAGCGAGAAGGAAGGCTTGCGAATTCTTGCGTTTCCTTCTAATCAGTTTGCTGGCCAAGAGCCTGGCACCTCTGAGGAGATACTGGACTTCGTGAAGCAGTACAATGTTACCTTCGATATGTTCGAGAAGATTGACGTAAACGGAGAGGATGCCCATCCGCTGTGGAAGTGGCTGAAGAAGCAGCAAGAGGGTACCATCACCGACGGTATTAAATGGAATTTTACCAAATTTATTGTGAACAAAGAGGGCAAAGCAGTGGAGAGATTCGCTCCGACTACTGAACCGTTAAGCATGGAAGAAACTTTGGAAAAGTACTTTTAAGTTCTTACAACGCTTACCACCTTTTTTATATTCAATTTTTTTTCTATCTGCATATTTCCAATAACTCCCTTTTTTATTTAGTACAGAAATATATATATAGTTACATATACGTAAGTACATAATACTAACAAAGTATGGAAAATTATTTTGTTTCTTTTGATTATATTCCTCCTTTCAAAATATATTTTCTTAAATAATGTGTGGTGTGTGGAAAAGTATATTGTATTAAAAAACGATATAAATAACAATAATAAAATTATTTTATAAATATTAATAGTTTTAGGGTTATTTTTCGTCGAAAATTCACAGATGATATTCAAGTTTATATGCTATATATATATATATATAGCATATAAACTTGAATATCTATATATATATATAATATATACTAGTAAGATACGTAAAATGATTAAATTTTCTTTTTAATGGTCATTAGAAAACTTAATAATCACCTTTTTTTAGTTCCGTTTAGATGAAAGCACCTTCCCGTCAAACTTGGACTATTGCTTTAGAATCTCTTCAAATTTGAGAGTTTAAACCGCGACATTCAATCTGAAAGATTGAAAAAACATTGATGAAATACAAGAATATAATAAAAGAAATGTATAATATTGAAAGAACATATGAATCACATATCACAAAAGTTGGCACAAATTACAACATTTAATTTCAAAAGCTTTATTTATTATAAATCTTCTTTCGCTATCTACACTAGCATGAGAAAGACTATGACTATTTTACCAACGTGACACATACACACGATGATGTATGAATTTTAAATATAATGCACGGATTCCGAATACAATTGCAAATTTATCTACTTATAAAATACTCACGACATCAAATGTACATACGAAGTTTATTGATCATACTTATTATATTTTTTTTAATGTGTGTCGATGTTAAGTTTTTAAAATTGATTCTGTGTTTTAATGAAAAACTGAATCATTCATGATTATCTCTCTTAAACATAATTATTAAATCTCGTTAGTTCTTTACATAGAATTGTAGCTTTTAAAAGTACGTTATTTTATAAATGTCTAACAATACAAATGTAAACTGTACAAATGTAAACAAACTGGACTATTCTATTCACTTAAGTCTTGAGACGGTCGTACGTATGGACGGATTTAATAGATGCATTTTTAAGTACTCTTTAATATAAATAAATACAGATTTAATAAATTATATAAAACTTCAGGCAGTTTCTTTGACGTTCGAATTGATGGTAGCCATTTCGTGGTCTGCTGTAGTTTTGTTTCTTCCGTTGGGTATCGTAACTGCATCTTCACAGGTCTAAGAAAAAGGAACAAATCTCGGTGAAAAAAAATGTACGCCATATGAATATTTTTCCTATAAAACTGGAAGAACTTATTGTAAGATAAATACAACAATGGCCACGTCTTTTAACGTGAGTGCTGAAATAGCATTCAGTATTAGGATGTTAAATTTATCGGCCATACTGATGCATTTATCTCACGCTACGAATATAATAACGATAACAATGAATTACCCATCGTTTCTTGTTGTAATTCTACCTTGTAGGAAGGATTGTCGTATGCTGATGTTGTTTTACGAGGTGATATATCAGCCTTACTACTTGTCCGTCTTTTCATCAGCATCATTAGTAGAATCAAGGTCGATAGTATCGCTAAGGAGGCCACGATGGCCACTATCACTAGCGGGCCATAGTAATCTCCTTCATGCAGAGGAAGCGATGCAAATTTTCCAGCTAAAGAAAAGATTCTCTAATTAATTTTGCGACAAAGCTAAAAGGAGGTGAAATCGTTGGAAAACAATCACGTTAGGGAATGAGAGTATGAAAGAAAATTGCACAATTTATGACTGTGAATTGACAATCACGTATGATGTACACGTCTCGTTTAAGTAGAGTTGAAGGGAGAACTTTCGCAGTGTCATCACGAATTTGATATCGTGCAATCTTCCTCTTTAAAGTTTTATGTGAAACCCTAGAAATGCCTGAAAACTTTTAGGAGCTCCGGATTTTCGGGAGATAATCTCCTGACGGTAGCGGAGAAAATAACACGAAATCTGCATATATCGTTACCTTGCTGAGACACAGTAGCCGGTAAGAGTACACCTGGCTTTGTGACGAAATCCTGCACGTTACTCTTTTTTATTCTGCCGTTCGTCAAATATATTTCAAGCCATAACCGGTACCTAGTGCCAGGTTTTAGGTCACTGATCACAGTCTTGGCGTGAGAGTCTCTCTTGGCGATTTTGAAGGTGCTAGTGTCTTCTTTGCCAGTGTCGCTCTGATAAATCGCGCGATAAATGTTCACGTATTTGTCCTCTGGATAAGGCACGCCGCTCCAGGATACTTCCACGTCCGTCGATTTGATGGTTTTAATCTCAACTTTTACATCAAAGGAGTAGGGATCTGGCTCCATCGACGTGGCCACCTGAATCTGGAATAAATAGTAATTTATTAACAATATTATTCCTTTCTATTATGTCGCTTTATTCCACACGAACGCGTAATGTGAACTGTTAACCATTAATTTTTTTATTCTTATTTTCTGTGAGACGCCCGCCTAGAGCGTAGGGAGGTGCAGGTTCAAACTCTGGCTGAGGTAATATTTTTCGCAATAAATTTTCTGTGTTAAAAACACATCGCCAGTCATGGTCGATTAGAAGCTTAATCATCGTTAGTCATTTACTGGCGCCAAATAATTCTTGATGTTCTTATTTTATGACTGTAAATGAATAATATTTGACGACGTATTCCGCCATCAAAGAAAGTCCCAGAGTTACAAGTATGAAAAGAATTAAGATTACTGGTGTTCAGGCGTCGCCGTCAGTCAAGTAACTTCAATAATTGTTTAAATGTCTTACCGTTTTTTCACTTATTAACTCCGTTAATTGTCCTGGGAACGGTATGAAGTAAATACCGACTTCATACATGGTCGATGGCTTGAGGTTTTCAATTACGTAAGTCGTTACGGCACGATGGATCAGCGGCGTTGCCGCATAAACTTTGCTATCGTATTCTTTATATCTCAGCTGAACGCCGTCTATGAATTGCAATTCGTATTCCGTGAATTTCTTCCACATAACGTTAACCCAGGTTGAATTCGTCCCCGATATTCTAAGTTCAGCGTCAATTGGTATTTGCGGGGGCAGAGTCGGCACCTCCGTGTGTGTGTCCAATGTACGCACGCTGTAAATCTTGCTAGTTGGACTATTGGTCAGGTCCTTCAGTTTCACTGTAATCTTTACTTTGTATTCGGTCATCGGCTTCAGGTCACCCAGCTCAAACTCAAGCTGAGGTGTCGCGATCAAGTCATTAGGAGGCGCAAACACCTGTGCCTTCCACGTGGATGGATCTAAATTCCTATAAGATGAGAAATCTTATTGTTCTAAGCAATCAGAAATATCAAGAACGAATGTTTCGTATTACGATGATGTAGGTGAGAAAAATGGAAGCTGAAAAGTTTTGTCTCTTACTGGGCTCCCTATTTATATCTTTATCAGCCGAACATGTGAAAAATAGCATCTCTAATACTTCGCTACATACGTTTTATCACTGGTGTATCGTAGCTCGACTCTTCCGTGCAATCCCACCAGAACCTGAGGTACGGTAAACACTAGCCGAACGGTATGTTCGTCGAGCGCTTCCAGTATTTGCATCGTGACTTCATTTGAAGGGGACACGGCAGGGAATCCAGCTATACCTCCAGGCAGAGGAAAGCCTGCAGGTACAATGTTATGGTCCAACCCTATAATATATCGAAAAGTTTCTTATATGTACGTAGTAAAAACTAATCTGTATCTCTGTTACAATTCAGAAATATGCGAGAACATATGGTGAGTCTTCTCTGATAATCATCTGCGCCAACGCTTAGTCTTTCTCTTGAATATTTCATTAACGGTTAATTAAAGTTCTCGAAAACTCTGTTCCATATTGTTTGTACTCTCCATCCTATATTTGATATCTTCAGACTAGTTAGAAAGCAGATAGCAATTACTATTAAATTTTACAAGTCCGATACTTAAGAGTCGGTGATGATACCTACAAATATCCGAGGTATGAGATCTCAAGAGTGAGAGAAATTAGATATATCGCAAATTGTATTTAATTAAGTGAATTTTTCAACTGCAAATGAATGTCTTTTAAGAATATTAACGTATGCTCCTTAACGCATGTTCCTTTATAATTACATAGAATTTTCCGTAAGAGATATATCTGGCGTATGTAGCGATTTCCTTATCGAAAAATAAAATAACTTTCCCTGGAGATTAGAACGTAAATAATGTTCGTATTGACCAATTGAAAAGAAATGCAAATTACACGTTGGGGTTGCAATCGGATAGTAACACCTAATTGTTGGACTAATTATGAGTGAATTTTTTACGATGGCATTTAACGTCCGGACCGTCACAGACTATGAAAAAGTGAGCGCGATCGATAATGAGAATATCGTTAACGAGAAACGTTATTGTCACTTTTCAACAAGGAAGATCTCGTTTATCAAACGCAACCGCTAACGCAAATCCTGTACATAATTTTTTCTGATGATCAGGAACGAACCTGACTGACTGGGCGTTTGTGCTGCGAGCGGGTGGTTCAAGTGCGTAAGTCCCGACTGTGGTACGTGAGCGTCTATATGGAGAGGTAGAGTTGGCAGCGGGCCGTTCGGTACATTATGGGGTATAGCTGGCTGTCCGGGATAATGTTGGAAGGGCCCGGGATTGGGATCGTGCTGATTGATGTGCGCTAGTAGCTCTTCGATTTGCTGCGGGGTATTCGGAATGTCGGGCGTGTGAATGTGATAAGTGGTCTGCCCGTTCTCATCTTTTTGCGTAAAGATATGGGGCTTCGTCGTCTTCTTCGGCGCGGTAGGCACCGTCCCGAAGTAAGCGGGTTGCACTCGATTACCGGGCGGCTGTTTCTGACTAGAGATCTGCTGGTGAAGATCGTACAGGCCCGGGTGACCTTGGGGAGGGGTATGATTCAGCTGAATTAGGCCGGGGTGCTGCGAGCTTATCAGGTGATACAATTGCTCCGGCAGAGTCTCATGATCGGGACTTTTTTGACCCTGTTTCGGTCGGTCCGGCAATACCGAGGGTGGTTTGAATTTTTCTGCATCGATAAAGGGACCGCTCGGTGTGGTCTTCTTCTTTGAAACCGTAGGGACAACCACGTTCGGGTCGACCGAATCGGCTTTCAGCGGGATCGAACCCTGATGAGGAAGGCCTATCGCTGAGTTATCGTACTGGTTATTGAAATTGATCGGCGAGTTACTACCTCGATTATTAAAAGAGAATCCTGGATCTGATTTATCCGGATGGGAATGTGACGAAACGAACTGAGCCTGGTCAATTGGACGGTCTTTGTGCGAAGGCGCCCATTTGTTTGGGTTCAATGAACCTATTGCATATTGATTTTCGTTGGCGGGGTACGCGGGCATCGAAGCGGCTTTATCGGGGAACTTATCGGGTGCTAATGGACCAGGGAAATACTGATCAATTATTTCCTTGTGAGGTTTCAACGATTCTACGGGTTTTTTCGAATCGGACTTTGACTTGGATTTTTCCTTCGGGATCGATATCGGCTTTTCGGAGTGAACGGGTAAGTGAAAGATGTCGTCTACATTGAGATGAGTGGATAGAAAGTCGGGACTGTAAGGTCCGCTGTAGGGCACTGTAGGATGTCCTGGATCCATAGGATAGTGGGGAGGTCCGTGAGTAGTAGTGTCCGTTTGGGTCTGATCGGTTTTCGGGTCTTCCGAGAAGGGAGAAGTACCGTGCTCCGGTTCCTGGCTGGGCTTGAGCATTTCCGACTTGTTATTCGGTCTTTTGATATTGTCAATCGTTTGCCGATCAAACGTGTTTGTGGCTAAGGGGCCGGGATACGCGGTCGTCACGTTCACTCCTGCAATAAGTAAAGTCCATTGTCACAGAGATTGTCAGTGATCGGTCACGAGTTGTCCGGGGTCCATGCATATTTACAGCGGGATCCAATTCAAACTTTCCAAGCGCAGCCACGGCCACATGAAGCATGCATTTACAGCTTTGCTTTCATTTGGTTATTGCATTGTCAATGCGAAGTATGTACAAGGAAAAATAAGGGTCGGCAAATGTAAATCCCGGAGTGGAATATACCGGGAGCATGTAACCTGAAGCTGTTAACATATCGCAATACAATAAAACAAAGTGCAACCCTAAATATAGAAATTACACAAAAATGTACTCATATTGTGAGTGCACTCGCCACAATCTATTTGTGCTTCAGCTTTCTATTTACATCAGATTACATTGCGTTCTTTTAGGTGTAACCGTACAAGATGCATTTTTGTATTACAATACTATAAAATGATTTGCATTTCTGAATGTATATTTGCAACTTTATAAGAGATTGCAATTATTAAAATTTTTTATTTATATCATGAGTGAAAACTAACACATATTTATTGAACATGAATATTATAATATTGTAGAAAAGCGACAATGACTCCTATGTTTATGTTCGACTTTATATATTTTTATCATTTTGAAAACTGTTGGAAATAATATCAGTCCTATTATGCATTGACATGATCAAGGAAGAATGGCGATTTTGTAATTTTCTTTTTTCCTAATTGTAAGACCTAATGTTAAAATTTCATTGGCCTAATTAGATCTGTTCGTTTACAGAGGAAACAATCAACTTTTTGTTGAGTTGCTGAATAATCGCGTTAAACTTTTATAGATTAAAACCGAAATAGGGACGGGAAATGATTATCCTGTTTGAATCTTATATATGTATAAGTTAATAGACTATGGCAGAGAAAGCGGCCTCTCAATGTTTCTTAAAATATACAATTAAGATATGTAATTAATTAATGAAATCAGTAGATCGCTTATTCATTTACATTATGGATATGCACAACAATGTCTTAATAAATGCTATTCATTTTTTTATTTATTTGACGTATCCAGTAAAGTGGAAATTTATCTGAATTATTGCAAAGTATATTTTGTCCAACATACAATTATCAATGTTTTTTGCGAACGTTATCTCTATATTTCCTCTATATTTTCCTAAATGTTTTGCGGTCAATTAAAAAGCTTATTATATATTTTGAAAATAATAATTCCAATTACGTTCTGAAAGTAACAGCTAGAAATATTTGTTGGTTTTGAGGCCTAAATAAGGTAGATGACGATTTAACGATTCACGGCTAAGTCAGTAATAGTAATGGTCTAAAACCACAGTTAGTATAATATCTTATTCAGAATGTTTTCAATCATGATTTTACGAAGAATTGCCTTTTGCAGATGTATCCCTGTAGACACGTATCTCTCGATATCCCTCGATGAAAAATGTGACATAATAATGATTTTTACAATGGACTTGTTGATTGGTACAGTAGTTCTTAACTTTTTCTTTGATATTCTTTAATTTCAATGTAAAAAAAAATGTATTTTCACATCCTATAATAAAAGTTTTAATATTTATTTCAAAATATTTATTTCAAATATAGACTGAACAACTTCGAGGATAAGCAGATATTAATAATAAAAACTTGTCTAAATCTAAATGATAGGGATTATGTTCCTTTAAACGTATATGTACGTCAGTAACAGAAGAAAAATTCAATTAAGATTCATGACAAGTTAAATATGTCACACAATATCTTCCATTCCGAATATTGCGTGCATTCTTATAGGAGTTAAGAACCACTCGACGGACTAGGATATTGAGGAATATGTATTTTGTTTTCATCTAAACTGCTATATTTACCTGACAGTTGTGACGAAGGATGACCGCAGGTCCACTGCGTGCAGCACGGGTTAGTAGGTACCTGCATCAAGGTTGCTTGATGAGGTGGGCATGGCAAATTGGCAGGCGGCAGAGCTGGTACGAATTTGCAAGCAGCGCGACAGGACACATTGCCCATATCGCAATAACAACGCCTCTCGCAGCCGGTGACGTTCGACGGTAACTCGCTCCCATTGTCGTACGTGACTCCTTCATAATTGCAAGAGCCGTTGATCCTACAGCGCAGCTCCTAGAAGTCGCCAATATGATTATCGTGAGGATACATGTGCAACATCTACTAAAACAGTTATTTAAATATAAATATACACAGATTCCATGAACATTTGGAGTTTCTTTTGTCTTAAAACTTTTTATTTGTGTATAAATATATTCTTCATCGCAATGTTACAATTTTTACTCGGAACATTTATACAGTGTATCTCTTCGGAGATATTTATGTATATGTATGTATTTTCCAGTTTAATTTAATACATATTTTATGATGTAAATATTCTTGATGTAGGAGAAAGTAGGATGAAACGTAGTAAAATATTCACTTACTTTTATGAGAAATAGGAAAATGCGAAAATAAACCTGGATCTTTTTAATCAGTTAATTATCTTTGAAAGAGATATATTTTTATATATTTTTAATAAAGTCATTTCAGGTATTCGAATTTGAATAGAATCAATTAATTTTCTATGACAAAATAATGATCTATGATTTTGTCTATTCACATATGTAGCTATAAGAAATAAATTCGAGAAGTAGAATCGTATTCTCTTGTCGAATAAAATAGAATTTTTTAATTTTAAAATCAGAAAGTATTCGTAAATACTATAATTATAATTAATTCTAAGAAAATTCTATAATTATAATTAATAAGCAGTACATCTGAATGTTCTCCACGAAAATAGCCAGACATCCGGTATCTGATTTACTTATTACCAATTTTTTTTGCATGCCTCTCGTTATAAAAGAATAAGTGGATAAAAATTCTAACTTGGTGAAAGAAGCTTTCACAAGCTGTACCTGGGGACAGCAGTGCGGTGGTTTTGGGACGAAATCTGGTGGAACTGTCTCCCAATCTATACAGTGACGATCCAACAAGGCCAGTCCAAAGTCCGTAGGACACTCTATCGTAGCGCACTCAGTTTTTCCCTCGTCTGTGCAACTGCAGACAGAGAGACACTCATCGTACCAGCTTGTACCAATTTCATACGATTTTCCTCTGTAATTGCAGGTATCCTTGTTGGATATTTTCTCCGAAATATTCGTCTTCACCACTTCGGCTGGCAAGGACACCTGTATGGCCGGCCCAGTACGACTTCCTTCTGCTATTCGAACGTAATACGTATGCGCAGGCTCCAAACTCGAAACTATACCATCTGCAAATATATATAAGTAAGTAATTTTTGTCATTTTCATCGCGTGGTTTTTCATCTTTTGCCGTAGCGACAGTATCCTATAATTCAACATATCGACAAAAAAAACCATTTTAGATGTCTATATAATGGAAATTTATAACGAAACATAGATTATCGGTACTTGAACTCATGAAGCGCATTATTTCAATTGTCCAGCGTCACTATTAATTTACGTGAGACAAGAGGGGCCTGAATAATTTAGTGATCAAAGCGGTCGCGATACGCTAGGTTCTGAAGTGAGTTTGCAGGCCACAAATCACCCACAATCGATACTTCTCTCGCTCAAACAGCTAGAATAACAGTTAATAAAAGCTTCTTAATTTTTTTCAATAAATTTTATCTACCTTTATCGGGATTCTGTTGTCTCCATACATGATTGTCCTGCGAGAGCTCTATGGTAATATCTTGAGGATTCTTCGCGGATAATTTCAGTTTAATCGCAGTCGAATTCAATACCTTCGCGTCCATTAATTGCACGCTCAGGTCGGTGGAATTTTCCAGTTTGAACTCGTGATCGGCCAAAGTAACGTCGCAAAGTGTAACCGTGCAGCAGTGATCACTAAAGATCGAAATAACTGGCTATTATCTTGCTCATAAATTATTTAATTTGCGACCGTTAATTTCATCCGTTGAAGAAAGTTATACCTGGGATCGGGTAATGCGACGCAGCGATCGTGCTGCTTAGCTATGGTATCGTTCGGCGGACACTTGGGCCTGGGCTGACACTTCAAGTTGCCGCCAGCCTCGCAAATGCACACTCTGGTGCAACCATCTTCGATACGTTGTCCTCTAGCTACTGTATTGTTGCCGAACACACACGCCTCGTTTGCTTCAGTAGCTGTATCAAATATATTTTTCTATCAATTCAACAGCTTCTTTAATAGGAAAGTAAGTTATCACAGATATTCTAAGAAATAAGTTGGATTAAAATAAACTATAAATATAGCCGGTGCCATTTGTGATGTCGCTGATAAATCGTATGTGGTGTAATCTCAAACAGTGAAGTATGATTTTCCCCATTCTATTTACGACAACAGATAATACGCAAATCCAAACGTTAATGAGCGCTGATAAATGAATTAAGAGTCAAGGAGTTTAATGTAAGAATGTAATCTGGCGAGTCGATCTGTGAAATTCATTCGTGCGTTACTTCATGTCTGATAGGTGGACGAATACGAACAAATTGTGAGTCGTAAATTTCTGCACTTCAATCTGAAAACTGTCAAATTTTGAAAATACAAAGAGACGCACCTGAATCCGCAGGACAGAGAACAAGGGCACAACATGGTTCCTCAGCATCCAGTTTTTCCTGGCACAAAGGATCCTTCAACTGTCTGCCCGCTCTAACGTAAGGGTGGCTGCATAATGGCTGACACTCCATGACTCCACTTTCGGAACATACGCACTTTTCCTCGCAGTCTCGCACAACTTTTTCACCCGCTGAATAAGTGCGATTTCCGTGGATACACACTGACGCTTTTGGAAGTAATGTCGAGGAAATGTTTATGGCAGCTTTATTGTGCGGCACGATGTACTCTCCGCCTGGAAACAACCGATCGGATTGTTTAGGTCTTTAGACTCTCCTATATTTTGGAAATGATCTCCAAAACTTATCTTTTCTAGCGTAATTAAAATAAAAGACAATTTTGAAACTTAAATTCACAAAATCAAACATTTTTTACCGAGTCTTCATTTTTTATTGAATAGAGGTTTCTAAATTCTGCGCAATTTTAGTAATTTATATAAATTTTATTCATTGTTTTACTAGCCGTTTTGGGAGCAATAAATTTTACTTGGTCGTTTTTTAAAATTTGGTTTACTTACATAAATTATATGTGAGTGTTTAAACCCTAATATATGCAGCAAAGATCTAATATTATCTTCTACGTGATTGTAAATTTATTCAATATGAATCTTTTTGTAACTTAATATTTTGTCCAAAAAATGTATTTCACATCAATGGGCAAAATTAAATTTTAATATGGAGATACATTTTATACATATACAATTTGATAATTCTCTCGAATGTAACTTTTTTCCCACGTCAACTATAGCAAAATCGATGTCTATCGTTCATGCCTCCACGATGCTCACCTTCGACTTCTTTGTCGTCCTCGTCCATGCTGATGTCACTGAGATCCGTGATATTAGCGTGCAACGAGTTCGTTGGCTCCGAGGCGGTGACGTTTAAGGCTCTGCCTCTCGATGACGTTGTTTCTTCCGTCACTTGAGCCCCCACTGCGCTGCTCGTCGTACCCTGGACAGCAAGACTGCTCGATGGCGTCGTCTTGGGCACAGCGACTATCGGTGCTCCGTGAAGAAGAAACGGAATCGTCACTCCCGTAGCGTCCAAAGATTTCATCATCGATGAAGATTGGTCGATTTTCATCGAGGTCGTCGTGGGTGAAATCGATGACGTCATCGGAGCGTCGGAATCTACAACCCTCCTCGCCTCGTCATCCTTGACGACGGGTTTTTGGTACTTCTGATCGCCTTTGACCTTAAAGTCTATCACGGTCTTTTTCTTAGCTTCAGTCGTGGCCTTGACGTCAGCTTCTTTTGTTGGATACACACTTCTCGATTCTGTTGTATCATTTCGCCATTCTGTACGAAGGGGCTGCACCCCTAGAGTATCTTCGCCATTGGTACCTATGAGGGCAAAAGAAATACGACGCTTAAGAGATTCAGGTATCTAGTAAAATTATTATAGTCGACACTTTACTTCTTTAAAATTTATTGACTCTCAATACATGTGAAAATTATAGGAAACTATAGGAATAGAAAAATCTTGTCAAGAAATGGCAGCAATTCTAGCAACACATTCGGACTTATTATTGTCGAGAAGACTCAATCAAATATTTTTATACAATATTTATAAAAATATGTATTTTTACTGTTGCAAGATTGCATATATTTTCAGGAGTTTTTTTCATAGAACATATCATAAACATCGTAAAATATGATTACAAAATCGAGATTCAAATATGCTTGCTATATTAGAAAATGTTTGAACAAAGAGAAGTTTCTAAGAATACTAGCGACTTGAAATTTTTGCCGGATCTCACAGTTTTCTCGCTTGTAGTTTTGTAGGATTAAGAGAGAGAGAGAGATGCCCAAATCGAACAATAATAAGTCCGAATGAAATCTAAAACTTAAAGACACTCGTCAACCGAGTTTAAACCACAATGTTTGGGATTTTTAAACAATATTTTAGATATTTGTGTCATTTAAAGGGATTATGTATTATATATGTATGTAGATATGTCTCATTGGATTGTGCATATGTTGCAATTGCAACAACCGAAGGTAACTACTATCTCTCGAAGTTATATAAATGACTAATATAATCTTTATTCAATTATTAATGAGAATGCTCTGTTCCTAAGCTAGATCGACACTCATGGGCGGCAAGATACAAAAATTTAATATAGCGATAAATTAATAATTTAATAATTTTTTTTATTGAAAATGCATAAAATTTGTATATTTATATGCATGTAATATTTTTCTCTCATTATCCATTTATCCTTCTTATATTATGCAGTATCGTAATTTAGTTCTTGACTTCTTTGAGCTTTCAATAAGACAAGACAAGTATATTAAAGTTACAGATTTTCTTGCCTTTAATTTTGAAATTGAATCGATGATTTTTATAAAATTAGCTTTTTTCGATTTTGATAATAAATCAACAATAATTGTCTTTCCAAATATGTTTGTATCGCATTGATTTTTAATTTATCGTACTTCTATGCTTGCAATTTACCATCGATTAACGTAAAAAAATCATTTACTATTAGAAATATAATTTAATTTTTTATGAGCTATTACTTTTACTTAATTTATTACTATATTACTAATCTTATTTTTTATTTTGGGAACAACACTCGCATATGCAATTGCCTCATCGATCGTACCTCTCTCATCGTACTACATACAATTTTGCATTTACTTACATATTTATCACATTTACATATATTTATTTTATTATTATATATTTCACTTATGCTATACAAGAAATAATTTTAATAACTATGCTTGGAACGTTAAACCGTGGGTAATTTGCCTAGCAACGTGCGCAAAAGGAACGGGGATATTAATGACGGGGCGCAGCAGTATACGTACACAATAAATGCGCTGGAAATTACATTCGAGCACGTGACTTAATCCGCCCGTTACATTACTGCATAATATAATGTGTACGTTATACGATCATATTATATATGGAAACACGAGCGAGCTAACTTAGGCGAGTCGGAGACTTTTCGTGTCTATAGTCCTGGCTGCATCAGAGAAAGTGCACGCGCGACTTGAATGTAAAAGTTCGAAAGGAGGAAATTAAATAAAGTTTACAATGTACTTTAATTACTTATAAAAATTAAATTTCCATAAGAAAATTCACAATTATTATATTAAATGAAAAACTAACAGTGAATTTGATTTAAAACTTTAATTAAATTTTTTAAAATAAAATATATAATCAAACACAACTTGTTTTAATTTTGTCAAATTTGATTTATAATGTACTGTAATATACAGGGTGAGTAAAAAGTACCGGACCGGTGAAATATCTCGGAAAATATGGGAGATATGGAAAAATGTTTCAGATACCTGAACTTTGTCAACTCATATCTCGAAAAGTACTTAATCAAAAAGTGTTTGCCTATGGTGTTTTGAAAAGGACTTGAGGTCAGCTACAAGAGTATGTAATCAGAAGTAGGGAGTTCCATTTAAAAAAATAGCGGTGACCTCCATATGACCATAAAAAATTAATTTTTTTCGAAAATTGATTTTACCATTACATAGCCCTTTTAAAACCGTACAACTTTTGTCTGAAATATTTTTCCGTATCTCCCATATTTTTCGAGATATTTCACCGGTCCGGTACTTTTTACTTACCCTGTATACAAAAGTTCTGACTAAGAAAACATTCGAATTAAATTCTATTTTAAATAAGATCAAATATTTTATATTTAGACTTGAGTTTTCTTTATTAAAAAAATATATTAAAAAGTAATTTTAGTTTACCTGTAAAAGTTGTAAATTTTCTTCTCGAGGTGTTAATAAATAAAATCATAAAAAAGATTGAGGATTTAAGTAGCAAATAAAAAAAATTTTAAGTTACTTTAAACGGTTTTTAATTTAATTATCATGTGTAAAACAATAAGCATTAATTTTTCTAACTTCCATAAAACGAGTATTTCATAAGTCACACGTAACGCCAGAACGAAAGGAAGAAATATCGGATCTAACAATATTTATATTGACAATGAGTAAATATTTCCAAATAAGAACGTTAAATCTAGCAAGCGTTTTTTGAGAAACTCTCCTTCCGCGAGCGCGCGCACTTACAATTACATTACCAATTTATTATAAGTATTTGGTAATAGCCAAACGTTTCTAATTATATTTTCGAGTGGAATATTTGGTAACTCTTATCGTACTAGGAACGGTGAATTGTAACGGTTCAACCGGTCCGCACGAATGCGGTATTCATCACGAAGATACACCTGACGTGTTCGACTAACAGATTCTACTTTATAAGGACGCTGTAAGTAGGCGGCGATCTCCTTTCTACGGTTAACCCATCTTTTTAACCACTCTCCGGCCAATTTGCAGACGACCTTTTCATAGCAAAAAAATGTCAACAGCTTTATTGCACTTTATTAATTTTTAACGGTGTGTATCTTTGTGTACATCCTCTTTGAATTAATAAATTAGTATAATTATACATGACTATTATATTAGCTGAAGTAATGTCTAAGGTTTAAAAGTTAGTAAAAAATATCTGAAGATCTACATTAACCACGAATGCTTATTTTCTTGTTGAAAAAGGTCGATTCTGCGAATGTCATAAAATTTTTAAGTGTAATAAAAAACGAACATTTGACAATTTTGATCATATTACAGCAATCTTCGAAAATAATGTACGTTTTGAAATTTAGCCAAATACAGATCTGAAAATAATTTTTTTGGACGCACATCGAAAATGACGCTAAAGTTGTTAAAAATGTTAAAACTTTTTGCAGCATTCTGCGTGATTGCATGATAATTTTTTATGGCCCAAGAAAGTTACCTTTAACTCTGTATCTAGCGAAATTTTTAGACGTTTCAGCGAAACTGTTCTACCCGTGATATAATACATCTCTAGTGTACTGCATGTATTGGGCTAATTTATTTATCGCATGCATGTTTCCTCCTGTCACTCTGCAACCGAAGGAGAAAAGAGAAACGAACGCGATGATCGATATCTGATAGAAGTGCATCTGATTGATATCTAGTTCGATATTTGTTAAGCGGACTTTAATATTTTACATGTTTTCAATATGATATGTTATTAATAAATCGTACAATATTTATATTTTACTTATTCTGAATAAGATACATCGATTCAGAAAGCTGAAGTTATTCGTAGTTAACTTTCATCGAATAAGAATGGTATGCAATTACATCGAGTGACCGATATAAATACGAATGAATGTCTCGCAAAGCAGACTGTCGCCATTGCGAGTTATTCGCAGAAAAACCGCACAAGTATACTAGAACTGATTTGCTTTAATCAGTTGGATCTGACGCGCATGCCGCAAGAGAGCCTGGGAAATCCGGGCGCCTCTCCTGCGGTCGTTAAAGTCTCCGGCTGCGTCACGCAATCCTACGCGTTTCATTCACCGCTTTAATGAACGCGCGTTATATTATTACGCAAATGAAATAAAGCGCATGTCGGGTGAGCGCCTCGTTTGAAATTAAAGAAGGAAAATATAAGGAAATTTACGAAAACTTTCGTTTCTCTTGTTATCTGCAGTATTTACATCCTCACTCGCGTAACGCAAATATTTGAGGGACGATGTAAAAAATCTAAAGAAACTTTTCGGAGAAAGCTAAATTTTTATACCTCGCCTTGGAATTTTTTATCATTTTTCAAAGTTGTCTCTTTAGAATTTACGTGAACAATAATATAAACAACGAGGAAGGTGTTTTCTCACGATTCTTGTATGAAGAACAATGGCATTGTTTAGTGATATTGCCTGTACTAACAATGATAATTTTCTCTGCGGTAGCAATAATAATTGTCGTAGCATGAGTAGTTGGGGTGCTTTTGGAGAACTTTTCCTGCTTACGGAATATGATTTTTAAATATTTCCGCATTAAAATTTTCTGTCCTTTTTTTCTTATTGTTAGTAATATGCAATACGAGATACTTCCTGCCATCAGGACGGAGCTTATTCCCGAGGGAAGCTTACCGGGTGTCGTGGTGACTCGCGTTTCAGCACTGGCGGCTGTCAAGGAAAAGGTGACCCCGCCTAAGAGGCAGAGACCCAGCAGGAAACATCTTTCCTGGATACGCATCCTACCGCATTCTTCTGCACAGACGTATAACACGTAAACACTCGCTCGTTCACGCGCGCACTCCACTAATTTGTCGACGAGAGGAACCGGAGGCGGATGAAGAAGGGAAAATCCAAGTCCACGTCCTCCTCGGCAAGGAGCTGCTGTCCGCGACCAGCAACGCGTGAACCAACAACGCGGGAACAACGGACAGTCCGTGGCTGACTGAAACGAGTTTCAGAGTCCAGGATGGCGAGGAGAGAAAGAGAGAAAGAGAGAACGGTCCACTTCGTATGTGCGTATGTATGTGAAGGGGGCTGAGAAGGAGAAGGAGAGAGGAGGAGAGAGAAGAAGAGAGAGGAGAGAGAGAAAGAGGAATTTGTAGAGTTCGTAGTTCTCGAAACACTGTCGGGGACGACGGGGACACCGCTGAAAGCACGCGTGCACGGTGACCGATCGACTGGCCGCTCTCTCTCGTTTCGTTGGCGATCCGTGCCGAGGCCGGAGCTGTAGTGCAGGCAGCACGGCGGTGAACGGGATTCGCCGTCGCCGACGAGCCTCGCATTGGCCTATACCTCTTCTTCGTGTGCGTCTTCCACCATAAGCGCGGGTCCGGGCCGCGTTAGCCTTGCTACAGGTCGTAGACACTTGCACTAGGCGCCATATAAATGCCTCAGCCTTAGTACGCCAGATACGTTTCCCGAAGGCATTTACAAAAATGCTGCACCGTATTTAGAAATCAGAAATCGCGTCTGTTGGGAAGAATCGCTGGACAATCAGCGACGACAAGAATAATAAAGCGCGTCACATTTACAGCGTAAATAGCAATAAATAAGTAATAACTAAATAAAAGTTACGTCTGAGAACTAGCTCGGTTCATTTAGCTACATTTTATTTCCATTGATTTTCAATGAATCAGCCATTGAATTGAATCAGTGTTGAACGCAAATTTGTAGAGAAAAGAGTTTTATCTCGTAACTTAATTTTCAATATAAAATAAGTTTCATCAACTCTAATATTTTTATAATTCAAAACGGTTATAAAAGCTCTACGGAAACTATAACTAACAGTGATTAATATGATTACATATATTGAATGATATTTTATTGCACAATTCCTGAAGTATAACTTAAGAATTTATACTAAATATTTACGTTTTTGTGAATTTTATACATTTTGCTTTTATAATTTTGAGCTATTCCGATTACCATTCGATTTTGAAACGTGATCTTATTCCAAGCGGACGTGTAACATTACTTGAACCAGTCTTTTTTGACAAATTATAATTTTTTTTAAGTTAAAATGTGTTAAAATCTGTTTTCACCTAACTTATAATAATATATATTTAAGAAAATATTTCAGTTATGTATTTCAGATCAAGCCGTTGGGAATTATGTTACGTCCTCTCCGCAATGCGGAAGTATGTGGTGATAGACATTTCATATAGATATTGGGGTTGGTGATTTCCTTCGAAGGCTTCGACATTCGAAGTTATCAAAAGTAACAGCCCTAGTAGATATAAAGAATTTGAAAATTTATCTTTCTGAAATTGATTTTTAAAGGCGAAGGAAATCTCCACTATCTTCGTATTCAAATACGTTACTTTCTGCTATTTTCCTTATTTATTCAATCAAATCCTGATTAGATTTCAGATTAAGAAATTCAGTTTCTATATCAAAAATTGTTATGAGTATGAGCCAATACTTTCGAGATAACATCAAATTAGTAGATCCAATCTGAGATCCGTGATAAGCTAATTCGTGATGCTGACATCAGCACAGCTTCTGAACGTTTCCTGGGGGCCGCAACCATTGCCTCGTCTTCCGTCCTCACAAATGCCCCAGGTATTTCCGGTGCGGTAATGCCACCTAAAAAAAAGAACCAATCTTTATGTTATTTCATTGATTTGGCTCTTTCTCGAATTTTTGATCGATAGTTATTTTCACATTTTTTACATCCTTAATTTTTTAAATTAGACATTGTTTTTATAATTAAGTATGATTAAGCGTTAATATCTTATTTGAGCTCCACATTTAATAATGGTGAAAATTAAACGAGATTATGTATGAGATTTAATTCTGAATCCTGACCTGATCACGCATTGTTTACACGTGACACCCTGTGGTAGAACCAGGCTGATAGTATGATCATTTTTGCCAGAGATAGTAACGGGGTATTTATAGCCACTACCATCAGCCATTGGTAAGGGATACATATTGAAGCATTCATCGGTTTCTAATTCCTTTTCTGTCTTCAGCGGACAAAGATTGAATTCAAAGTGACCCTGATGGCTGGCGGTGAGGCGAACAATCACGTTGATGACGGAACCTGCTTTGTATCTACGTGGAATGATATATTTTCTTTTATATAACATAATATAATAACAGTCTAGCGTATATAAAAATGTACTTCAATTTCAATAAATTCTGGACATCTTTAGAACGACTTAATAAAAGACGCATTAAACAAATGTCATTACACTTTTAGGGGTTGAATCAAAATAATCAATGAAGCTAAATCAAAATCATATTTGATTTTGAGTGAGTAACGTTAAAATTGCGAGATAAATCAAAGAATACACTAAATAAAAGTGTTTTAATTATAAATGCAATTTGTTGGAACAGTCATTATCTACCATTTACTTACTTTTGAACAATGACACCTGATCCGTAGATGCCGCCATTTTCATTTGGCCGTGGTCGAGGTAAAGAATAATTGTCGCCACATTCTCCGCACTTGCCGCCATTTTTCTGGTGCTGGACCTAATAAGAAAATATATGTATATTTATTCTTTAATTTATAACTAATCAATTGATATATCTTCTTCTTTTCTCTCTCCTAATCAAATTATTTATCAAATCATTATTTGTCATATAACTTTTATTTTATGCTAACATATTCGTTGAACAAAATTATAGCAATAAGACTGCAGAATTTTGTTAAGGTGAATAAAATTATTAATTTTTTATTGTTTGATATATGAAAAGAAATATATTATAAACAACGAATTATATGTATAAGTATATACATACAAAATGTTTTCTTGACGTATACAATTATGCCGATTGAATTACTTAAGTAACAGATGATTAATCAAAGTCATATTTATAGAATAAAAGTTTTTTTTGTAAAAATGTTATTTTTCAAATTTTTTATTTACTTTCAATTTATTTCATTTACTTAATTTAAAGACAAATTATAATAAAATATGGTCGAATAAAATCAAAATTTCCGAAGTACTTGTATAATTGCGTTTTGAAGTAAAAAAAGTAGACAATACTGAATTAAGATCAAAGAATTCCTTTACAAAATTTCGCGACTGTATTTTGTAGTTTTTTATACGTACGCCGAATCCTCCGCAGAAATGCTCGTTGTCAGTAAAGTTAGGTTCTGTAGGGAAGCCCTTCCTCCATGCGCTGCTTCTGTTTATGGGGTCCCACATCATACCATGCCCCGAAATTTCCTGCAGATTAATGACGGTTATAAGCGTCAATACGAATAATTTTGTAAACGCCATTTTTTTTATATCTTCAACGGCGGCTGAGAAGCGAAATTTCGGCACAAACTGTAACGAAAGTTCGACTTCATCTGCTTTATATACTTGTTTAAATTCCACGATAAGCACACGCACGTAATAAAGAATGATTACTTATAAATTATTTTATCAGATGCATCGGGTCATACGAGATAATTGAATTAAAAGGTTTTTTTGAACTTTCTTCATAACATTATGGAATTTAATGACGGATAATTTACATCAATGCCACTTTTATCTTTTCTGGATTTGTCATAGAAACAAAATAGCTAATTAGATTTCCTGTTTTATCTTTCTCGATAAAAGGGTAATGTTACTATATAATTTTTTATTTGAATGTGTAACTTTCTAAATTATGTTTTATTAGGGTAAAGAGTTCCTTTAAAATCTAAAAAATATACTTTCCGTCAATTCTATATTATTCTGTACAGCAACTTGATTTGTACGTTGAGGTAGGATATTTTAAACTTCGATGAGAGAGAGACGAAGTTGAAAAACACATGCAATGAATTATTTGCAGCTGTGTTGACGCAATAAATCATTTATTACCGCACATCGGGGCAAATAAATATTTAGAAGATTCAACTGATCTTTTTGAAATTTGCGAGGTCACATTTCAGATGTTTTTTTAAGTATTATGTCGTTTTAATAATCTTTCTGATGAAGATTCATTGCAGAACATTTTATAATGAACAAAACACGTGATAAATGTTTTAACAGCGCCAGCTAAATATTTGCATGTCGTACATATGTTAACATCAGTACAAATGTGAGCTTCCAATTTTTAAAATCAACATAATCGTAATATTTAAATGCAAGTGACAAGTATAAAATTTAAAATCAGAAAATGTTGGATTTCAGAAAGTTAATTATATCTATCCCATTTTTTAACCTTTGAACGGGCAATTTTTGTGATTTAGAAAGTAAAAGTACCTTTTTTCGTAGCTTATGAAATTTACATTACTTATCTATTCAAGCATTTTGTAATCTACTTCCAGTGGATGACATCTATCGCAATAGAACTCTCTTTTCTCCTCTAATTTACCATGGAAAGGGAAAGGAGATGTAACTATAATAATTCAAGACAAATTTTGATATTGTTAATTTATATTTTTATAAGTGTATCTTTTTTATAACATAAATGCGGTGAAAGATATCATATTAATTTATATAGAAACTCTTAAAAACCATTATCTGTATCACAATATGTTTCCTTTATATTCTAAAAGTAATAATTTAACAAAATTTATCGGCGTAGCTCTTGTATATTATTTCTAATTCTTATTAAAAGCTTTTGTTCAACTTTAATACAATTTTATTCATAAAAAACTCTATTAGTTATATGGACTTAGCGATATTTATATAACTAGATAACAATTCGATAGTTACACTAATAATATAACTAGGTAAACAAGCGATACCTGAAGTGCTTGTCCATACAACTCATTTACTTCTTCTTGTCTCCTGTATTCTTTGTCATGATTGAGAGATTGAATCTTTTTAATAGCATATTAATTGAAGATTCGTAATTAGCATAATTATAATATTGATATAATGCCACTTTTGTTCCAGTGTTCCTAGTCTGCAGTTGGAAACAATACGTGGGATGAGCTTTCCCTACAAACTAAAAGGGAGATATAATTCATTTATTAGAAAATATCAAATATATAATATTTCTAATATTATATTCTGGCATATGAAGTAATGAGCAACGATTAAAAAAAATGCTTATTCATTTATCAAAATACATTATTTAGAATTTATTTAAAAAGATGTACGTTTACATATGTACAGATGTGGCTATATTATTCTAATTTGACATTTCTCAAATGAACAAGATAAAATTATATTGCTATCTTATAAACAAATAAACGGCCAAAATTATAAACAAATAAATTGGTAAAAATTAAGTACGCAAAGTAAATGTGTTTGATAACAACATGCCTGAAACTAGGTATTAATAAAATTTAGTAGTAAAAAATAATCCTCATTTCTCAATTATTGTTATACTTATACCAACTATACAGGGTGTATTCTAATTCGCGCCCACGGATTTATACAATATTTCTCATGAAAAACTGAGTCGAAAAGTCCCGAACCGGTTTTTTTCCGAATTATGCTTTACAAAGTAGTTATTATTAAATAAAGATTAGTCAATCAGCATCGCTTTTCAAATGGACGCAAGTTCGTGATTCGCGCATCTACATTAGTGTGCGTAAAGTGAGCCGCGCGCCTTAGCGGTGTCTGTCGTGAGTCCGTTTAAAAAGCGATGCTAATTGACTAATCTCTATTTAACAATAACTATTTTATGAAGCACGATTCGAAAAAACGGCTCACCCCGTATACCACTTTGTAGCTTTGTTTCACAGTTTTCCAATTGTAATATACACACACACATATTGTATATAAACATATATTATTCTAACTGTCAGATCCTCCTTATCTTAATATTGATCTTTGTGAAATATTTCCATCTCGCTTTACATCTTATCCGACACGATATTGTCGTTGGTACACAAACGTGAGAAATTCTTACTTTTCATTAATCAAAATAAGCCCCGCAATTTGAGCAGCGTCTTGTCCTCAATATCAGGCAGCAGATGAGCCCGAGAGGAAAGAAGAGAATTGCACAAAGCAGACCGAGGCACGTGTAGTCATCCTCCATTACACCTACCTGTTTTGCAATTTAATTTTATATTAACTTTTGACCTCAGCATAACCGACGAAAGCGGTAACGCTTGAACAAGAAAAGATTTGCGTACTCTGCACGCTGGACAGCCGCCGACTATGATAATTTCTGGCACTATGATCGCGGTGGAATGTGTAGAACCGTACGATGGAGCATAGTTTCCTTGACAGCCGGGGTTGACGTTATTAGGATAGTATCCAGGAGGTGGTTGCCATGACGTGTTAGCTAGTGACAAAGATTCATCATAAACATACGAGATATCGATGATTTGTGATTCACTTTCCCTCTTCTTCTTCCAATCAACATTGCTTTCTTCAAAAGGTATACCAAGGCAGGTATTCATAGTCAGATCTTGTATATTCAAGACTGTCTTAAGATCGTCTTCAGATACTCAGTAGCCTGTGAAATGTTTCGTACAGCAGCTTTACATAAATTCAAGACGGTCTTGAATACAAGATCTTACTACGAACACTGACCTAAGTTTGTACAAAAATTTGTAAATCAGTTTTTACTACAAACTTGTAGTTGGCCAGAATCATCTGCATCTGCTATCTCTATAAGCAAATTGCCGCAATACAACAGATCTGCTCAAATATCGCAGCAGACGCTATCTGCGCTTGTATTAAACTTACGTTTGCCCAACAGATTGACAATAGATTGTTGGTGGAAGCCGAAAGGAATCTATCAGTTTTTACAAACACTTAAATAAAGGACAACATTTAAGCGGTCACAGATTCTGCGGATTCTCGATTTCTGCAGCAAGGGTGCATTCGGGAGCTCACTATCGGCGCCGAAAGCGCTATTTTCATCTTGTACATTACGCGTCGAAGAAAGACAGAACGCTCTCGGCGCCAAGTAGCGCTGAGCCTACCATTCTATTCCGTCGTATCTTTGCTAGCGTTCCACCGACAAAACTCGCAGCGGACGCTGCCAAACTCCGCCCTCGACAGATTCGTGGCTTATTATCCGGGAACGAAACCTCGGTCAGTTCATGCGCGATTGATCCAAATGCATGAACCGGTAGTCTCGAGCTATCAGATTTCGTTGCGGGAATATTGACGCCAGCGAGGCGAAGTCGAGAGTTTTGCGGGGAAAAGGACGTCTCCGCGACCTAACCTAGAAATCGCACCTGCTGAGGGGGCCGTCGCGACGGAGTACGGCGGCGGCGGTTTCTCGGGCGCCTTCAGTGGCTGTGCCTCCATGATCGGTTCGTTGCTGATATTCAATTGCTCAGAAAAACGTACGGCGCTAATGACAGCGTGTCGAAATGCCAATTGACAGCGCCAACGACAGCACTAATGGCGCGTGTCTCTCTCACGCGACCCACGTGACAGCCGATACATACAACCACAGACTTCGACTGCGATTGGTCAATTTCGTTAGCATATAAGGCCCGGTTGCACCAACGTCACGTAACGTTAACTGTAGCTTAATTCACCCTTCGTCTCTCTCTCTCTCTCTCTCTGTTTCCCTTAGAAAGAGACAACGAGCGAATTAAGCTAAAGTTAAAATTAAGCGACGTTGGTGCAACCAGGCCTAAGAGGAGCTTTCCAGGGCCTAAATTCCGTACACGATTACCGACGACCATCGATACGTTAACGACGTTTGCGCAGCTTTTTCTACATGATAGAAAAGCTGCGCAAACGTCGTTAACGTATCGATGGTCGTCGGTAATCGTGTACGGAATTTAGGCCCAGCAAGCGACACGAGTCGACACACAAGTGTCGTTCTGTCTTTATTATTCATTGAATGCGAAGAAAGACAGAACGACATTTGTGTCGACTTGTGTCGCCTGCTGGAAAAAGCTCCCGACGCTCCCGACTATTCATACGACTACGACTTTACGACTTCTATGTAGACGAGGCTTTAAACTGTTCGGCGAGTGTATTTCGCGCGTGCGCACTCGGTCTCGCGATCTCCAGCGGCGCACGTGACGGATCCACTGTGCGGGTGGTCGTCAGCTGACGCGCAAACGGCGGACGGACGGACGACGGATTCTCGCTTCGCTCGAGAACTTTTCTCGCGAGATTAAATTCGCTCTCAAGACCGCAGCAATGGCGCTTCATTCCGCGGGGAAGGGTAAGCTTCTGGCGGTGATTGGCGATGAGGTGAGCGAACGATCAATGTCAACTACTACTGGTAACCCGATGGGGGATGAACTGTCAATGAACTTCTTTTTGTTTCGTTAAATCGAAGAAGCCCGACCGCCACCGGTCGCGCCGGTCTGCGCGACTGGTTTGGTACATGAAACATATTTTCAGGACACCTGCGTGGGTTTCTTGCTGGGCGGAGTTGGGGAGATCAATAAGCACCGTCAGCCTAACTTTATGGTTGTCGACAAAAGTATGTATATAAGGCGCGTGTTGCGTTACGGCTTTTGCACATAGCGACCGACTACTCTCCGGTGTTGTTTTGTAAAAAAAGACCCATTTGGCTAACATCCGTGATTTTTTATGTTTCTGCTCTATACACAAGAAACGTGAACAGAGCCGGGACTAGGGTGTGGTGAACGAGACACTTGCCCGAGGGGTGAACCACTGACCAAAATCGTGTACACCGATGCCTACTAATGCCCAGTGGTCATCACCTTATCTTATTTTATCTTATTTTATCTCATTTTATCTCGTTTCACCTTATTTCATCTTATTTTTATTCTTACAATGCCCCAGCAAGGCCTAATGCCTAAAATTAATACCCAAAAAGTGCCTAGTAATGTCCAGTAATGCTGCAGATCTGTACACCACGATGGCCGCGTTCAGCAGAAAGAGGTACTTTGCAACTGTTGTAAAATTCGTGAATTCAAATGGCGTATGCTCTTAAATTCACTCAAGATTAAGAGAACACGCCAGTCAGATTCACGAATTTTACAACAGTTGCAAAGCAGCTTTTTCTGCTGAACGTAGCCAATGCCCTCAGCGGTTTACCCCTCGCACTTGCCTCATAGAAAAGATTTGTAGCGTAGCGCAAAAATGGCAATTGTTCTAATAAAATTAATACCAATATATTAAACATAACTAATTGAAATGATTTTTATTCTGTTTTATATACCGTAAGAGAAATATTTTTGTTACTAAAGGGTGCACTTTTTTTTGGCCTCGGACGCCAAAATGTCTGCTCTCGATTCTGACGATGACGAGCCATAATGTATAATCGTCGCGCACGACTGTGTTAAAATATACTTGCAACGGTATAAATTAATAGTGTGAAATAACGATTCTTGCAGATACACCAGTGAGCGAGATAGAGGACACTTTCAAGCGATTTATCAAGCGAGATGACATCGACATCATTCTTATCAATCAGAATGTGAGTAGCCGAGATGGTAGTTTCGCTGGTGATGAAAATTTGTCTGAAATCCGAAATGAACATCAATACCACAATTCTAAGCAAAATCGTAAGACTCGTAACTTAAAGACTCATAAAAACTGACCTACAAGTAATCTGCAATTCTATGCGTACCGTACATTACGCGGTCACTCGTAGAATTTCAGATTACTCGTCAGTTCTTATGAGTCTTACGATAACAGGTTGCGAGTCTTACAATTTTACTGAAAATTGCAGCATGAGGGTCTATCCAGACAAATTTGCACAGGCATAAAGAAATTGATTGGTCTATTTCCTTATGCGTGCATTTATGGCCCAGTCAGATTCCTTGTGCATATGTCTATGTGTTGTGCAAATTTATCTAGATAGACCCTGAATGCCTCGATTATGTTTGCAACGACAAACGCAATGTTGTGACGCATAATACTTGAATAGTGCCCTCAGTCTTAATCTGACACGCTCGATAATCTGTTTTAGGTAGCGGAGATGATTCGCCATGTAATTGACAGTCATACTCTACCGATACCCTCTGTTCTGGAAATTCCGAGCAAGGATCATCCATATGACGCCAGCAAAGATTCCATCTTGAGACGTGCTAAGGTACGACATTTTTGTTTCTGCCTAATTGGTTACCGCATTGTACGACGGTCTGTCGTACAGTTTAACTTGCAGTTGGACAATCTCGTCTTATTCGTCACAATTGTTCACAGGGTATGTTCAATCCAGAAGATATTCATTCATAATATGAATACGATGTTAACAAGATTACACCAAATGTGTACAATAAGAATTATTTTCTTGGCCGTCGCATTCCACGTGTCTGTCTCTGTTATTTGGTCAAAGTGATGTAAAATCGTTGTTAATACTTTCGCGAGTAAAAACTGATAGATGAAATAGCTAGTTCTCTTTCTCTCGTTGTTTTAAAGTATGTCTTTGTGAATATATACATACAATACATACATATTATAACGCTAATGGAAATAACTGTGTGAAAAAAAATCTACTTTTTAGTTGTAAGGACATATACATAATGACTTTTAATTCAAATTCTAAAATTGTAAAATAAACTATCGTCGACTTATCGTATCTCGAAACATTGTTGTTACATTAATGGATTGAGTCTAATACTGAAAAATTAAATCAACATTGAATTATAATAAAGTGCAAATGCATACATTTGCCATGGCAGCTTCGAAAACGAATGAAGTTTTCTTTTGTTTCTAACTTTTCTCTCAACAATCTTGATAATAATTAGAACGCTCCCAATAAAATAGAAACGGAAGAAAACAATGTATTACTTTAGCTGGAAGGATGTTGAGAAGTTGGAGATGAGTAATAGTCTTTAAGCAAGAAAAAGACATTTTACAACTGAATCTAATTTCTTAATTAATAAATTTAATATGTATTGGTATACACATGTAGATACTTTTATCGCAATATACTGACATTATCAAAATACAGGTTTTACAATAAGTAGTTGCTTACAATACTTTCGCATACATCAGTATTTTATACAATAGTGTATAATAGCAACGATATACAGTATATAATGATGTATAATAGCATCAAAAATTTCTCAATATAGTATAATAGTAATGAACAATATTAATAATACTGCACACAATAACAAACAAACAACACACCTTTAGTAATATTAAAGATTGTAAAATGCAATTTCCAGATCAAGTTTCCAATATAAATTATCATTTACAATTCTCTCACTTCACTTTTGCAATTTCTAACTATAATTTAAGTATAAATATTAAATATAAATATAAATATAACATCCTTTAATTTCTAAAACTCTATCTTGCGTTTTCGTAGCATCTTGATATTTCAATTCATTATTTTCAATTTTGGTATTTATATGTATATAAAATCAAGCCTTTTTCTCAAATATCTAAGTATCTTTGGTACACGTACATTTGATCAACTTCAATTATGAAGTTGTTTACTTAATCGATTTCGAACTCTTCCCTTGCAGATAGAAATATCTTCTGTACAGCGTGAGTAGCTTTAACTGAAAACAAAATAGAAAAACACAAATTAAATGCATATGGTTAAATGTATTCTGAACCTTTCTTCATTCATTTTTCCTCGATCTTTGTAAATTTCTAGCATTTCTTGTGCTGTTCTTTTCTGACTTGTTACTTGATACACACATGTAATATTGTTATGTGTGATAAAAATATTTCCGCTTTATGTATGGCATTAAAACTGACTGAAGAGAAAGTTCAGAATAAGATTTTGCAATCCCAATGAGTTAAGAGAATATAGAAACGTTCGACTGTATAAATATTGAATAAACTTGGTTAATCGCATTTATGGGAATTACGAACTGTATATTTTCTGGAACCACAATGGTTTGCTTTTCCAAGCAACACCAAAGAAATAGGCGGGTATGCCAGACACGGTGATCAGAACGCCCATACCGACTTCGTACGGTCTTTCGTAGCATGGTACAATAATCAGGAAAACACACACCGTTACGAACAATATGGGTAGCCACAACGGTACCTGAGGGGAAGAATTTCCGTTTTCACTTCAATATATAATATAAATACACCGTTCAATAATTTTACGTATGTAAAATGCAGTACCTTGATCGGTCGTTCTAAATTAGGTCTTTTATAACGTAGCCATAAAATTCCAGCTACGGAGATCATAATGAAGAATGATTCTACTATGCTGCAATATGTGATCAGTACAAATATATCACTCGTGCATAACATTATGAGAGACAGGATGCACTGCAAATGCCAAAAAGTTTGAGTTATGATACGTAAAAAGAAAAAGAAATTATTTCAATGTATAGTGTAAAAGAGAAAAGGGAACATTTGTAATTTTTGTTTTTCTCTGGCCAAAATCCGATGTGGCTGTGAGAGATTAAGAGTCTTAAAAAATGTAATTGACACAATTGGCAAATGTAATTTAGCAAAATACACACCAGAAATATCAGGGCAGGCGTAGGTGTGAGCCTGGACATGTTGATGTGACTCAGCATAGAGGGAAAGTGACCATTTCTGGCGCCAACAAAACACATTCGGGACGATGTCATAATGTGAACGCTCAGTCCTCCGAAAGCGGACACAGCTACCATTACAGGTATTAGCCAGGCCATATATCCGAGAAGTTGATTACCGAAGGTCTAGTAAAGAGATTACATTTTGTACACAACGTCTGATAATGTATGGGATACATTGTTACATATCGGATTACTTACCACAGCGATTGCGTTGGAAGCGATCATAGCAGTCGGAGTTAAAACGGCTAGATAAGCCACATTTGCCATAACATATATCAAGGTCACCAACGGCAGTGATATATAAATTGCACGTGGTAAGTTTCTGATGACAAGTCATTCGGTTGTTAATTTTGTAAATCAAGAAATAAAATCAGTATACATATTTTGCAGCGTCGACCTGGCTCTTTTACGCCTGTATCAGACTACGGATTGAGATTGAGATTAGATTCAAATTTGGTCAATCGGAGTAAAGTTTACTAATCTAAAGTGTTTCGTGACTTTTATTCTAATTGATCAATTTTCAATCTAATCTGAATCTCAATCCGTAGTCTGATACGAGCTTTACAGTGTAACAAAGATTAACCACCTTTTGCCAAATAGTGTAACTTACACATAAGGATTTTTTAGTTCTTCCGTCATAAAATTCAAATAATTCCAGCCCGAGTAAGAAAATATGCCAGAGTAAAAAGCCACAGCGATTTTGCCAGGATCGGTATTTGTATTTTCGAAAGTGTTCTTGAAGTTTTCTCCGTGTCCTGGTAGACGCACAATAGACTTTGATTAGAAAGAACAACATATCGGTAAAGATTTATTAAGAAACATACCTAAACAGAGCCAGACTAATCCAGCTATAATGATAATCATCAGTGCCCCAATTTTAGCGAACATAAATATATTCTGTATCTTCGACGTCTCTTTCACGTCGTAACAATTGATAAAGGTGAGTAAACCTGAATACAGATTTTATAAATTAAATTATGAATAAGATCCTTCTTGAGCAACATACCTAATTATCTAAATGTAGCTCTAGATGTATCAGCTATTCGCTTTCAGGCACACATTTGCATCCAGATGTGACGTTGCTAGATTTTTTCATCCGCATACTTTACAGATAGATTTACATTCAGATAATTAGATTAGTGATTTTTAACGAGACATTAAAATCTTACATATACTCAGAGCGGCGATTAGTCGCACACCGCCATCTGGAGTGTCGCAATTAGGAAAAAATGGTTTTACAACATACTGAGCAAATGTCAGTCCCATGATCGCGTTCGTCGTGGGTCTGTAAGCGACAGAAATATATTTTTCCGCAATATTGTTCAACGGACGAAATCTACTTGGAAATTTACTCACACAAAAATTAAGTTTGCGGCCCATAAGTACAAAAATGAAGGCAATGCCCCAAAGGCTTCGTGAATATAAGCATAATCTCCTCCACTGCGAGGTATACTAGTACCCAGCTCCGCATAACACAAGGCACCTACCATAGAGAGCAGACCGCATAGCACCCATATGATTAGAGATAGTCCTACACTACCCACTTCCTGTATCACTCCCTTTGGTGAGATAAAAATGCCTGCAAATACACGTAGCTTGGCTTAAATACAAACGTAAAAGCACGAAATACGTATGAAAGTGCTTTGTGGTTTGATGAAAAAACAAAAGACTGGAATTTTTATTCACTGAAAATTCATATAGGCGGTGTATACCTGAACCAAATATAATTCCCAATATAATAGCTGTCCCTTCTAAAAGGCCCAATTGCTTTTTCATTTGTACCTTGACCGGTACCGTAGCCATTGGCCTTTGCTGCTTGTCGGATGGCGAGCGAATGGACCCCTCGTCATCCGAACATATTAGCTGTACATCTCTAGCAGATTCACCTGACCCTTCTTTCACCATTTCTGCAAAATGCAGTATCTTCACGGAAGATACCGAATCCTTTTCAATCAAGGTATTAATTCGAAGTTTCCTGTCTTTAACTTTCGGTTTTAACTTTGCTATGTGGACTGGATAAAAATTGTCATAAATGATGATTCGTGAGAGCTCGATATAGATGATACTTCTTGTTTGCACACATTAACAACATTATCTGAAAGTATACATGTGGGATGAAGATGTAAATCTCATAATAATCATATCAGATACACGCATATTATGCAAACAGAAATTCTATACGTTCAATTTTAACCCCCGATAGAAATTAGAAATTTTATTCCCACAAAAACCACTGCGTTTTGGCGAATTATGTTAGTGCAATTAGCGTGGAATTTCCTCCTTTTGGATGATGCAATTATTGCACAATATTTGAGACATTTTCCCATCGGGGAAATTATATAAAGTTTTAGACGTGCTTAAACTTGAAGCTTTAAACTAGAAATGTCATTTAACGGCATACTGACGTAAAATAACAGAATTATATGAGAAATAATATATTAAAAAATTTTTTAACGTGACTTGTTGTAGAAAGTAATTAATCCAATAATGATTAATAATTTCGTCCTCAATAATTCACTCTTATGGTAGAAGCGTTAATGGTGTAAGTGAAACAAAGTAAAAATTATATGTAGATCTACGTACCGTATAATAAAAAAAAAAGCGAGTTTAAATAAACGCAACCACGAAAAGCTAACAAGATTGTCAATAAAGTAAGAAACAGATGTAGTATGTTAAAAGTCTCTCCAACCTGTAAATATGATCGTGCATTAGCTTCTATTTATACACTTATTTTCCCTTCACTTTACTCGTTACTTGCAGAGTTAAAATTCAACGTCTTCCATTACTGCGACGTTACTCAGTCTTACTTGTTTAAGCGTATTTTGACAAGCCGTTAATGCTCCAAGTTATGATATTTCAAAACACGTGTATTAACGGTATTCTAGGTTAACCTTGTCTCATACAAATTGCTTTAAACGTGTGATTGGCTATAATGGGAAAAGTTCTCGGGACCCTGGAAATGTTCTATTCGACAGCCAATGGCTGCGTTTAGCAGAAAAGGCAATTCATTATCGGTGATTCTCCAATACGATTGGTTCTTACTTTTTGTGCCGCTCAATTGAACCTCCGGAAATTTAGCCGGCCAACTTCGACTTAAAAAATTTTTTTTTAGCAGATAGTTCGTTGGTTGTTTGTGGGTGATTGGTGGACTAATATCAATATTTGTTGGTTTATAATTTTTTTATAAATAAGGAAACCAAAATTAGCGTGAAGTTAGCCGGAAAACTCTCATTTTCGTTCAAAAAACGATTAAATCGACGCGCAATTGTTCGCTGATAATTGTTGGTCTAATTATAGCATTTGTTGGTTCAGTATTTTCTTTTAAAAGCATCAAATACATTTAATCATAGAACAAAATTTTACCTTTTATTTAGGGCACCTTAGCTTTGTTTGAAAATCAGTAATTTATTACAATAAGTTTTATTGTGATAAATTGTCTTATTAATATATATCATCTATAATCTATAAAAAGTATGCGATTTTTAAAGCACTCTGTATAAGTATAAGTATAAAGACACAGATAAAGAGACATGGTTACAAATTTTTTTTAAACTCCGACTCTCTCACAGTTTTTATTTTATTTACGTGTGAATTTTCTAACTTCTGTAACTCCGAAACGGTAGCAGATACGAGGTAGCAGTTCCGATTGCTGCAGCGTGTAAGCTCAGGGCTACAAATTTTCTTAAATTTTGACTTTGTATATCTCAGTTTTTATTTTAATTAAGTTTGAAACTTCTATCCTTTATTAATTTGAGAATTTTCTAAATTTTGTAATTCCGAAACGTCAGAAGATACGAGGGTTCCGTTTGCGGCGGCGTGTTCGGCCACGCTCAGGGCTACAAATCTTATTTAAACTTCGACTCTCTATCTCGCACCGTTTTTATTTTCTTTAAATTTGAAATGTCTATCTTTTATTACTTTGGGAATTTTCTAAATTCCGTAATTCAGAAACGAGGGTGCCGTTTGCTTCAGCGTGTAGGCCACGCTCAGGGCTACAAATTTTCTTAAACTTCGACTCTTTATATCTCACCGTTTTTATTTTATTTAATTTTGAAGTCTCTAACTTCTCTGTACACACTTTCGAAAATTTGTAACCCCTGTAATATTGAAACGGTAGCAAATACGTTATAAACAAAAAAGCGTTTTACTATAAAAAGATTTACTTAAAATTGTTTTTTACTGAAGCAAATTTATTTATTCTATTTAAATAAAAATATCAATTTCAAGTAAATCTATGTATTATATTGAGTAATAATTTAAAGTTTAAACCATTACATTTTCTACATTCAAATAAAGATTTTATGATATACAGGGTGCTACGCAAGACTTTGACGTCCGGTCATGGGAAGGTAGAGGGGACTAAGACAAACAGAAAAGTATTGTACTATTTTGCGCTTGGACGAATAGTTATCGAGATACGAAATTTTAAAAATCGCCGTATTAGCCCAACCTACTGGCGAATGTAAGCGCGCGGTGAGGTGACCGGCCTAGCGGCCCCGCTCGGGGAGACGTGCGAGCGGTCGCGTAAGCGGCGGACGGGCAGCGGCGCGCCTCGCCTCCCTACTCCTCGCCCCGCACCGCCATTCTATTCCTCGCCG